AATTAAATATAGTTTACTTTATTACAGATCTTGACAATTTTTAAAATTTTTTAAATTACTTAAAAAAAATACTGAAGGCAAATCAAAAACACCTAGTAGCACATCTTCGGTTAAGTAATAATTTTGCCCAAATATTGTATTTTTATCTTTTAAGATAAACTTTTAAAGTCACAATGAATTCAAAAGTTTTTATTAATATATCTTTAAAATTTAACTTAAGTGCATCTAAAACTCTTGAGCAATGAATCTTTTATTGCCTTTTAACAATATAATTAGTATAATATTTGAATTTATGGTTGCTATAATTTTTTTTTCTAATTTTACTACAAAACTTAGTTCTGGTTTTTAAATAATTCATTTTTGAGGAAAAAAACATTTGTCATTGTTAATTTATGTCTTTCCATACCTAATGAATATTATTTGGTATTATTTTTCAGATGTACATAATGATGACTGGCAAGTGTTATTATACACTTATGAAAAAAAAAAAAATAGTTGCAGTAAGTTAGTTAGATGACCAAGGGGCAACATTTATAATTATCTAAACTTTTCATTTTTAATGTCTTTAAAGACATTCAAAGTAAAATGCTTAGTTTAAAATAAATAACATTATAAGTGAAAGTTGTCAAAGTTATATTAAACTACCCAGCTTTTAGTATTGGGAATGTTATCTATATATAGTAAGCCACTGTCATGTATATGAAAACACTTGGCTCAGTGTGAGATTTATGTATTGTGGATATATTATTCGTTTGCCACAAAAAAAAAGTCAAAAAATGTTTAATCTTTTTGGGAAATGCAATAGAAAAACTTTCAAATTCTACATGAAGTCACTTAAGGTCCATAAATAAAACTCTACTTTTATGCAGTTGTTTTTTTTAAACTTATAAAATATACAGCAAACTACGAAGATTTGCGTTCGATATAAAATCTGTTTACCAAACTAAAACGTAAGCTAATTGTTTTTTAACAAATAGTTTAAAACATATTTCATTTAGAAACTTAAATCGAAAAATAGTTTCTTCTTTTATTTTTTAGTTATATAATAAATTCATATTGTCATATTAGCATGAGCTCAAAAAAACTTGGACGACCTGTGAAAGTTTTAAACAAAACTCGTATTAATAGTGGAAGATTTGCTGGAAAAGCCTCTGATTTACCCGTAAGCGATCTACCAACTTATAAACAGGTCATTTAATACGGTTACAAGGTTGAGAAAGAATTGTTTAATGGACAGAAACTTGACTCTGTATCAATCGTAACTAAAGTCAATAGTGACTTGCAACAGCTTTGGTGTAGGGTTAATCCAAATCTACCTCTGATAAAAGATAAACCATTGAAAAATAAAATATCAAGAACATTTTAAAGGTGTTGTCTGCAGAACGAACTCAATCTAAAAACCATAAGTCCAGTATAAGCTGGCTAGAAAAGAAACTGGAAACATTGTTTGATGTGTCTGCTTGCCGGTGCGATCTTCCAATTATTGATGATTGTCATGATAGGTAAACATACATTTTTAAACGTTTTTTATTACAACTTTTTTTTTAATGTTAAGTGAAAAAGATTTTGTAAAGGTAAATGAAAATTTACAACCCCATCCTTCTGCCTTCTACTAAGGTATTAAAGTAAGGCATACAACTGTAAACTAACGGATGTAAGCCTATCCAATAAATAGTTTCTATATTGTTTTGATTTTAAAGTAGAATAATATACGTTTAGACGAATTGGATGTCGGAAAAGTAATTGCACAATGAAATACATATTTTGTCTCTGTGAGGAAAGTAGAAAGGTAATTCATGCCATTTTTGTGTTGATATTATTAGGCATTTACAGTTAAAATTCATAATAATGTAAGGTTTGGGAAAATAAAATAGTCTAAAGTCATTTTAAAAATCGCTGCTCTTTTACAAAGTTATGTTAAAATTATTATTGATTAAAATTATTATTGATCATTTGACCGTTAATTCTTTCTATTTACTTTAAACTTAAATACGTTCAATTTTAGAATATTTGACTTATTTTAGGTCCCTGTTCTGGAAAGAGAATATTTAAAGGACCAAAAGGAAGATAGGACCAAAAGGAAGTTGGCAGTTAGGCAATGTGGACCATGTGGAGGCAACAAGGAACGCCAAAAAGTATATTAGAGAGGAAAACGAGGCAACTAAAAAGCTAAATAGACAAAAAAATCTTCAAGAAACATTAGAAGTCGATTCAAATGGTAGTTTTAGTGCTGAATCTTCAAGTTTTGATACAACTGAAAGTGAAGAGTTTGAGGAGCAAATACTTAGTGAAAGAAATTATACCGAATTAACTAATTTGGCCAAAGCTGCAATAAGATACGAAGTAAGCGATGCTGCAGCAGCTGCAATAGCAACAGCTGTATTAATTGACTACGGAATAGTAAGTAAGAGTAAAAAATCTCAGATAGTGACAGAATATAAGGTAATTTGTGAAAAAGCATGAGTGGCTAAATCAATTGACACTACGCATGGTCAAAAAGTTTTAGAAATAAAGGTAATTGGTGTTGATAGCAAGAAAGACAAAAATTCATTAGTTCATGTCATGAAATACAAGAGCAATTGGGACCCTTTTTTTTATCGAACAACCAATGATGAACATCATCTCACTTTTACTTGTGAAAATTATCCATTTTCTGTAAAATTATCTCACACATGTGATAATAGAAAATAGTAAAGATGGTACTATGGCTCTAGCAACATTAAATGTGCTTTCTGAATACAACAGTGTTAAAAGTTTAGAAACGATTGTTCTTGACAATACAAGCTCTAACACTGGCGTAAATAATGGTTTAGTTGTAAAATTAGAAAAGCTTTTGAATTGTAGCAATCATTTAGTTGGATGTTTGCTTCACCAGGGTGAGTTACCTCTTCGTCATGTTATATCTGAAATAGATGGACAAACTAATGATCCAAAAAAATACAAAGGTCCTATTGGTATACAAGATATTATATAATATATTCATGCATGAACAACCTTTGGTTCAGTTTGTTCCTATAGATTCCGAGATAGAGTTTTATGTAAATCTCGCCATTGTTTGCGATCTGAGTACAGACCAGCGTAAACTTTATGAGTATTGCATTGGAATAGCTAAAGGTTCAATTTCTGTGAAGCATGCTAATAAGAAACCTGGTCCTGTCTGTCATGCACGCTGGCTAACCCTTGCTTTAAGAATTATGATGGTTTATGCAAGAACTGAGATACCTACACATGATCTAAACTGCATCACAAAGTATATAGTCCAAGTCTACTGTCCAATATGGTTTGCTGTAAAAAGTTCAGCGCATTACAAAGATGCACCAAGGCTTCTCCATAAAACAATACAGTTAGTCAAAAAACAGGATGACAGAATTAAAAAGATTGTATTGAAAAATCTTCAGGGTAACTCCTATTGCTGCTGTCAAGAAAACTTTCTTTACGCTATGCTATTAGACGATGAAAAAGTTGTACGAGATCGTGCTCTCAATAAAATCTTGGAGATTAGGTTATCTAGGGAAACTAATCCAGACTTTAAGCCTAAAATCCAAGCTAAGACAATTATGACCTTGAACTTCAATGCTGATGTTTGGACCGACTTAATTGAAGTTTCTTCAATACAAATTGAACCTCCCACTACAATTTTTGTTTCTTCAAATGAATTAAAACAAGTTATTCAAACCGGAAATAAACTTTCTATAACTGACTTGCCAAACAATTCTCAGTTGGTGGAAAGAGCTGTAAAACTTACATCTAAAGCTTCTAAAAAGGTTTATGGACGGGTGAAGAAACATAACTTCATTTTGGCTAAAAACCAAAGTAGAGCCGAAAACAAGCGAAATGTGAAAAAGTCTGAATATTGTATACTTTTGTCAGAGTAATTTAACAGTCTTGTATAATGCAAATATAATATATATATATTGAATACAATAAATAAATATAGTATATGAATTTTTCTATGACTCTCGATGATTAGCACACATAAATTTGAGTTCAATATACTATTTTATGAAAAGACATTCAAAAATGTTATTCCTGCATCAAACTTGGTTTAACTTTCAGTGTAAAGTCTATAAAAGCGTTCAAGTTCCTGTATAAGCTAAAAAGACCCTGACCCAAGCTAATTTTAAACACCAACAATTTTGAAGACCTTTTTGTTAACAATTGAGTTTAAAACTAGAAATCGGATTTTCTAGATTTGAACTAAAATTTTATAAAACTTTTCATAAACATCTGCGACGGAAACTTTTTACAAAACCTCGTTTCTACGTTGCATTAGCCAATAAGCTTTTATAAAACATCGTGAAAACGAGGCAAAACTTGTAACAAGTTTCCGTCGCAGATATTTATAATTTTGCGAAATATTTAATTAATTTAAATGTTTGAAAAAAATATACAAATAATAGAAAACTTTAAAATGATTTCCCAAAATGATTATAGCTCCAAATTGTATAATTTTTTTGCAATTATGTTTATACTTATGGTTTACATAAATCCCAAAGTGAGCCACATGCTTTAGAAAAAAAAGTTTGTTTAGACAGTGGCTTAATATATAGATCCAACTTTTTGTACTCACATAGACTGATTTAAATACATCTGAGTTCACATACATCGACTCATTTATATAGATAAAATATAGGAGTGTGCATATATTTATTGACTTAAATAAGTAGAACATGGAGTTAGTGTACATACATTGACTGGCATAAATATGTAAAACATGCAAAGAGTGTACATACATAAACTGAATTAAATAGAAAGTCACATGCAAAGAGTGTACATAAATTGACTGACTTAAATAGGTAGAACATGCGGGGAGTGTACATACATTAACTGACTTGCATGTGACTAAGAAGCCACATGCAAGTCAGTAAAATAAAATAAGAAATATTATAGGGAATATAATTTTTGTGGAAAAAACACAATTAGAATATTAAAATAGTAATATAGAATTTAGAATGTAAAATATTACTGTTAACTGTTTGATATGTGAATTAACTCTTTAGATAATAAACCAATTGGTCCACACATTCCTCTTATGCTGCCCTGTGGGCATACATTTTGTGAAGGTTGTCTTTTGAAAGCAGCAAAAAAACAATCTGAGATAAAATGTTTTGAATGTGAGGTATGTATCATTGTTGTTTAAAATTGACCAGTTAATTAAAAAAAATTAGATTGACTAGTTAATTAAAAAAAAATCTTTAAAATATACATTTTTTTTTTTACATAAACTAATGTACAAGATTTTGTTTATATATTTTGTAATAAAATTTTGCTTGCATATAATAATATCCTAAGATTTTGAAGAGTTCTAGATATTTTGCATAATTCCTAATATTTAAAGTTCCTAATATTTTGTGTAGGTTTTAATATTTTACATGGTTCCTGGTATTTCATTTAGTTTTTGTCTCATGTAGTTGATATTATTCCTGATACTTTGTGTCTTTATATTTTTATGTAGTTTATGTTTTTTATAGTTTTTGATATTTCATATAGTTCTTGATAATTCAAACTGTTCTTGATATGTTGCAGTATTGCTTTATTTACAATTGTTTTTTTTTTTTATTACACAAATATTTTTATATACAAAATTTTACTTTTTTATAAAAATTAAAAACTAAGTAACATAGTATTATAAAAACCCTGATATCATTTTTGATAATATGTAAGTTATTGAAGAAGTTTATCTTGATCAATTACCGCAAATCTTTAATAAAAAAGTACTTTAAAATTTAAATATATTTAAACTTAAGTTTTTCTGATGATTTCCACAATTTTCTATACATTTCTGTACAATTTACACTTGTAATTTAGTCATTTTTAGGCATCTATCTAAAGTTTCTAGCTTATGAGTAGTGTTGGTAAAGTTTCTAGCTTATGAGTAGTGTTGGTAAAGATAGCTATATAGATAGTTAAAGATATTATAAAGATAGTGAACATGATTTTGAACTAGAACTAATGCTTCATGATCTCTCAAGTAAATGTTTCACATATGTGTTGAGTGTGAAGACAATTTTATTTATTTTATTTTACATTTGAGACTAAGATAACCAACTATCATAACTAAGATAACCAACTATCATTAAGTTTTTTCTGATAAAATGTACAATGGTTGGTTGCTAACTGCAAAGAAAAGATAGTCAAAAACCATTGTTCTTGTATCCATTTTTTGAGTACATTTTGAATTTCTTATGTTTAATTATCAAAAGATTCAAAATAAATATCAAAAGATTGATATTTTTTTTGAATTTATTCAAAACTTTGCTCAATATCATCAATTTATCAATGCCTTTTTTTAGCCACTTGATGTTGAGCAAAGTATATATAAAGCAAAATGATCTCCTTTTTTTCTTTTTAGTTAATTACATTAAAAAAAGTTTATATATAATCTGTAAAGTTGTCTAAGGAGCATTGATTTGAGTTGTGTTTAATAGACAAACATGACCCTATTTACACAATATTTAGTGAGATAATGTCTATGTTGCATTTTATTTGATGATACTAACTCATAGTAAAATATGACTGGAGTCATGTAGTATGTATAATATTTTAATTATTTAATCAAAAGTTTACACAATAGTACTTCAAGCGCCAAAAAAACTTTACATGTCTTGTAAAGCACCAAATTGTAAATACAAAATAGTTTTTTTTTTCATTCTTGTTAGCCGATTTCCAAAGAATGTAGAGCTTTCTTGCAGTTCAATTTGCACAGTTTTTTTACCACTTATCTAATAATAATGATGATGGTGTCTTGATAAAAGTATAATAGAATAAATAGAATAATTAGAAGAAAAAAAAATTTATCCTGCTTTGGGGCTCCAGGTTGAGTAAAGGCTAGACTCAATATCAATAATCATCTTGGGCAGATGTTAACTGCATTTATCTACTGTTTTTTGGAGGCCTTCTAGACAAAGACTTTAAAGGTGAACAGAATAATTCTTTTGACCAGCCTAGAAACCCTTCTTTATCTATCAGGCTGGCGTAGTTGTAAACTTGTGTTACATTGTATTAATAGTGCCATGTTTCATGGATGGTGTCCCTCTCAATGCTTTTTATGTGGATTGTCAACAAAAGGAGCCCTAAGTTATGGCTTTAAGTTAATTAGCAGGACTGCATATGTCATTTTTTTTTTTTTTTTAAATAACTCTCTTGAGAACAAACATTTATTATTGCAAGAAATTAATTTAAAATATACTGTCTGATGCATCTCTATTATTCCCAATTTTTTCCCATATCTCTATTATTCCCAATTTTTAATCTCATATCTCTTAACTCAGAAGTTAGGCTCTAGAGACTTTTGGAATTTTTTTAATAACAAAGGTGTGGTCTAACATTCCATCTCTAATTCATAGGATTGATCTTATCCAAGGACTAAGCAGAACTATTTGCAAAGAACTTTACATTAGTTAAAAATTAAATAACTAAACTGACCCTTTTGACAGTTTATCACTGTGTTTCAGATTGCAGGTATTCACTTTAAATTCATAAATATAAATCTTTCACATGAAAAAACAAATATGTTTATTGTTTTTAAAGTTTAATGTTATGATATAATAAATTAGTTCTAAATATAATCCTATTTAATAAGTTAATTCTAAATTCTACTCACTAAATAAGAACAACAAACTGACATTTTTTTATTACAATAATGTATAATACACAATAATTAATATGCGTTGTAATGTAAAATACATCATTAGGTCATTTTAAGGGGTTTGCCAATAATATTTACTTTTTCCCTTTTTTTGTCCATGTAAATATGTAATAAGTTCTATCTCGACCATTGCTCCTAGTAATATTCAACTGGTTTGAAACAATTGAGCAACAACAATAAAAAAAGTACGAAAATTTCTCATTTATTATTTAGTTGCCCCTTCAGTACTGGGGAGGTAAATACAATTTAAAATAACAATAATCAGGGTGGATCACTTTTCAAAAATATTAGAACTTAATTTAGACTGGCTGTTTTTTAAAATCTTTTGACCATATGATACTGAGAGCTTCGTTTTTGCATTTATCGTTTAATCAGGTAGTTTTAAACTTGAAAATAATGGTTTTATAATAAATATATAATTTGCACGTAGTTTGGTCAATTTTATTACTCATAACATCTTAAAAGCATACTAAATAAAATCACTGTCTTAAAACATCAATATTTTGATCATTGATATGTTGAATGTGATCCTATATTATTAATCCTAGAGTACTTTTTACTATATTTAATTTGACTTGTACACATGCTATAGAAATAAGTGGAAATGAATGCTGAATGAATGAATGCTCACAAAAGTCATGATAAGGTTAATGAAGTTAATTGATGCTTTTAGATTAACTTTAAGAGATGGTTTAAGATATGTTATTTTTTTAAAGGATTGAAGAAAACTACACAAATTTAAAGTAAACTTCTCAAAAACTGTGGTCTTTAGTAAAATATTAATGGCAAAAAATTAATCCATTTCTACCTCTGATGAATGAAGATAAGAAATAATACATCAATGGAGGAATGCTGTAATCTGGTATTATGTAGGACAGAGCAGTAATAAATTAGTAAAAAAAAAAAAACTTATCCAACTTTAGCCTCTACTGTCAGTTTCCTGTACCACAGTATCATCAGAAAGCCTTCCTGATGATCCTGCTGAAAGAGAAATCTACTGCAGATTAGCTAATGATGTTAAACTGATATAAGGCAAAATAGGCAAAAAATTTTGCATCAACATAAGGGTTATGGTGTAAGCAGGCCCACAAAAGATAAAAAATATTTGTATATGAATTATTTTTTGTGAACCTGCCACAAAATTATTATTATATTAAATTGAAAAATAGTTCCCTAAAAGTTAAAAAGTATACAACTAATTTACATTAGTAGATATGTATTTAAGTAAAAGATAAGTAAATTATGTTTTGTTAAGTTTTAATTAAAATATTTAGGAAGTTCATAAATTGGAGGTTAATGGAGAAATAGGAGTAAAACACTTTCTTCCTGATATTTATCTGTTAGGACTGATATCTTATAATCGAAGACTCACTATTGAAAGGTATTTTTATCTAATTTTAGTTTTAAAAATTTTACTAGTACAGTTTTTACTAAAATATTTACTTTTTAATATAGTTCACAGAGCTACTTATGTGGTGGACCTTTAAGCAGTTTTAATGGTTTGGGATGTATAGCTCAAAAGATAAATTCTTCTGTATTTAATGAGAATATAGAATCTGATAAAACAATGAGTGAAAGTATGATTTATCATTATAATTTCTCATTTTTACATTGTTAATTGTTTTTATTTATTTTTCATAATATAATTTTCTTATATTAAGTTTTTTATTGTCATTATTATTATGGTCATTTTTCCATGTCTTGTTCATTTTTTTTAATTAGAGATTTATAACATTTATACATTCAGCTGGATAACTAGATATGTCAGATATATAAAAACTGACAGTAAACTGCTGTTGTTTAGGTATTGTTAAAAGGAAGACTTTCATATAAAGTTATGGGTTTTTACCTAGTTTATTTGTCTAGTTTGTGTTCAAACAGTTGTTCATTAATGTTTAAATAATCATTATTTGTTTGATTATACTTCAGAAGTTTTTTTGTTATTGTCTCATTATTTTGTTTATCTTTTTGCCCTTTGGTCATATAGTTGTATCCTTGTCATGATGGTAAACTGATTTTGTCTTTATTATGGCGTTAAACTGATCCTAGATGGTGTAGGCTAGGCTCTTTAGAAATGTAAAACTCTGATATAAAATACATACGACACACACACAGGCACACATATTTGATTGTGTGTAAGGATTAATAGAGCTTTTAATCCTTTTAGTGGTGATCTTTCTAATGTTCATCACAATAAAATTTCAGATGTCATTTTCCCTGTGTCTGTGCTAATAAGTTTACATTGGTAAATAGTTTAACATCTTTTTATGTGTAGATTTTTTTTTATTTAAGAAAAAAAGGAGAAAAAACTTTGAGAAAAGAGCTTTGAGAAAAGAGCTTTGAGAAAAAAAGAGAATATATATATATTAAATAGTATTTATTTTAAGAACTTATTTGTATCTACCTTATCTGTAATACCCACTCTTAGAATTGTGTTCGTTTTATCAAAAAAATTAGGACAATTTATTTCAACAAAAAGTCAATAAAATGCTATTCTGGAATAAAGTTCTTTAAAGTTTTGATTTTCAGAGTGTTGAGGCTGGTATATATGATTTCCAGAGTGGAGAGCTCTGGTGCTAGCATTTTACAAAAGTTTAAATCTTCCAAAAAAAAACTTTTTCAAATTCTGGAAGTTTTGCTAAAAACTTCCTGAATTTGAAAAATTTTTAAACTCCTTTTATCATTTCATAAACTCCTTTTTATCATTTCATTTTTCATGCTATCTCAGTGGGTCACAATTTTGGTGGAGGATTGTTTTATGTAAAAAGTTAATATATATTAAAATACAATAATGTGCTATTCCTTTATTCACTAATAATACAAACTAAAATGTGAGTTCTAGTAACCTGTAAATTGTATGACTACTTTTAGGTTCTAATATATTATGTGAAGAGTGTTTAACTAAGAATGCAACATGTCAGTGTAACATATGTGAAAATTGTAAGTTTTGTGATGCGTGTTTCAACAAAGTAAGTATTTTTACTTAAAATGTTACACAGTATGTTTTAAAAAAAGTTTTTATATATTTTTATTATTAAGTTCAATGTTAAATAAATTACCAAAATTATTAAGCTTGCTTTAATTATTGAAATGACACTTTTCTTTTAGCAAAATAACTTTTTTCTGCCATAGTAAATGTTTATATGTAGACACTATTGAAACTCAAACAATGAAAATATGTCCATTTGTGCGTTTTCTTAAATTGTTTGTTTTTCAAGTAAAAGTAGATAGCCCATTTAATGATAAGCATTTTAGATAATAAATGACATTTTTACTATTAAATGTAATGTTTTTTTAATGTTCCAAATAGTGCCATTGGATGTCTCAAACATAACTACATTGGATGTCTCAAATTTATCTACTTCTTGTAAATATAACCGGCAGATATTACATCAACTGTTTTTGCATTTAAATAGTCCCATTTTCTTGACAGATGACGTAGAATGAAATTTTGAGCACACTATTTGTCTCAGTAAGTTTGGTGGTTATTTGAATACTTGAAAAAACCTTTTTTAATCTTTCATTATCAAATAAACGAAGTAAAAGGTTAAAAGTAGAAGGTTAGTTTCAGTTAAAATTGGTTGACAGTTTAAATTACTATAAAAAGTAGTCACCAAAGGAAAAACATCTTTTCATTGTTTCAATGGCTTGCCCTTGAAACTTTGCATTATGAAATTCTTTTGCTATTACATAATCAGGGTAATGACATTCTTTTAACCATATTTTAAATTCCGCTAGATGTTGTTTTTCTGTAGCATAATCAGATGTAAAAGTATTCTTTTCTTTTAGCAAGGTTATAAAGTATTTTCTTTTTTTTATGCGATATGGATGATGACTGTTATTCATCATCCGTATCACATAAAGTTTAAACAGTCATGAGTGTTTGTTTCTTTATTAAAAATATCCATTGTAATGTATTTGTTGTTTTTAAGAATAACTAATATGCCTAGAAAATTAACTGCATTATATATTGTTTCATTCTCTTTGAATTAATACATAATGCAGTTAATGAAAAGAGAATTGAATGGATTAAGAGAAGTGTGTTTGTTTGGCTTGAATATTTATCAGGTCTTTTGAATCAAACGACTTTGCAGAAGCTTTTGAGCTTTTGCATTGCTAAAGCAATTGGCTGCATACAAAAATGTAAATGAGAATATTTTAAAATCAACTGTCAAGAAAATGTCAAAGCATTTATGGTAATTATATGAAATTAATGAAAAAAATATTGTTTTATGTTGACTTTGATGTCTTCATTCAAACTAAAAAAAGAAATGGTTTAGCAACTGATAATTGAAGGTACAGGTGACCCACCGAAAAGGATAAGTTTGGATTTTAATTTGATTGAAGACAAAGAACTAGAACATTTTGCCAGTAAAAGTACTATGAATTTTTTTTCAATTTTATAATTAAATGCTGGTTGCTTGCCCTGTCCTAATAAAAATTAGCCTCAACAATGAGTATACTGAAGCTAAAGTACTGCTAGGACTTAAAATAATGAATAGTTCTGCTGAGCAAACCAAAGCACTTATTGAAGGATTTAATTTATATATGAGGTAGGACAAAAAACAACAGCAGTTTTTATTGCAAATAGTCTACAAATTTTGATCCCATTTTTCCAACACAAATAAATCTACTTAGAATTAACTAAAAATTAATTAGAAAAATCAATAGCCAAAATTCAATGAAAATTTGTTTTGTAGTTTTCTCTTAATCTCTCAAATTTATTTTTTAATTATAATTTATTATAAATAAATATATAATTATTATAATATATAAACTATATAATATAATAAATTATATTATATAATTTTATTTCATGATTATTTCTTAAATTCTATAAATTTATACATCTTAAGTGCTTTATTTATAAAAGTAATTTGTTAATACAAGCGTGAATTTTAAATGAAGTAAAATTAGTTCTATGAATTTGATAAAAATAGTTGAAAAATATTTTTTGTTGATTTATATAGTTATGATTATGATATTTTTCATAGCTACCATTTAAAGCTTAAGGCCTTGTGCAGGTCGGCTAAAACTCATTCAAAAGTTTTGTAATTTTTACCAGACCTTATTGAGACCAAAAAGACACTCTTAATAGGTTTATATCTGGGAAGTTTCAATTTTTAAAACCCACATGTTTGAACAGTTGTTCAAACTTAATATTTATCATCTGGTTTTTTCAAATAATTTTTATAAAAACTTATATTAGAATCTTAATTTTTTTTTTTTGACTTGCTTGACTATAAGGTATTTTGTAATTACATCAGTATTTTTTTTTAACATTCAGATACATCAAGGCTCAAAAACTCTGAGTAAACATCAGTCAATTTCTCTTAGTTTGGAGAGGTATAGTAAATCAATAATTTATATTTAATATTTCTAATTTTCTTTTCAATATTTTCTTTAAAATCAGGAACCTTATATATCTATCATTTTGGACAATTTTAAGTTAAATTTTTTCAAGAGCTGCTAAACCGATTCTAAAAGTTTTTTAAAATGATTTTTAAAATGAACTTTGTAAAAAAGATTTCTTAATAGTTAATTTATTATTAACCTAAATACTATAAAGTGTCTGACAAATTTAGGTATGCTTGAGTTGGAAAATTTGGTCCCAAGTATTTTGTATGATAGCCTATTTGTAGTTGTGATTATTAAAGCTCTCCTTTCATAACAAATCAAGCTTTGATATAAGATCTTAAAAAGCAACTAGAAACAATTGGAAAAAAGACTTCTTCCATTTAAAACCACAAACAACCAACTTTGATCTGGCCAGATTTGATTTTGGCCAGTGTAGCTACAAATAAAGTGACACAAAGTAAAGTTAAGGATGGTGGGTACTTTACAATAAATTAAATTATTCACATCTTGTAAAGTTGAGGCATGATTTTTTTTGTTAAATTAAAAGCAAATTTAGAGAAAAAAATTATTTTATAGTTTGAACTTTAATAGGCAAACAATACCAATGTTTCTTTAGTTACTTTCAGATTAAAGTTTAATTGTTTTTCATTCAGAAAATTGAAGATATTATTAAAAAACAAAACAAAATATTATTATTAAAAAGTTATAAACCTAATTAAAATAAAAAACTTTACTGACAATATCAGGCTTGGTCGGGAAGCAAGAGCGATTACTAACCACAGAAATTGAGGGTGCTATAGCCTCAAGCCCCGCAATCTTAGGGCCCCAAAAAAGTCAAGAAGACCTTTTTGTTTAGTCATTTTTATGCTGTGGCACATACAAAGGCATCCAAAATAAAAATAGCTTCCAGCTCCGAAAAGGCTAACAAGATTCTAATAAAACTAATGCAAGTTTTAGTTTAGCTAAATTATCTAAGCTAAATTATTTTATAAATAAAAAAGTTAATTTTTTTAATACCTATTTTATGCTTCGCGTAGCTTGAAAAGTTTAACATATTTCAAACAATTCTTCTCAGTAAGATGAACAAATGAAATAATTTAGTCATTGAATTACTATAGAAATTAAATAAACTAGATAGAAATCAACTAAAAAGGTTAAAAATACTTTATGACGAGGAAGTGAAACTGCTTCACAATATTGCTGACGATGTTTAATGAGTGGGTTTTTAATTTTAATTAGTATTCAAAGAATTTAAAAAGTATAATGAGTTTTTAAGAATGGCAACTGAAGCGAAAATAATTAGAGTTAGTAAACCATTATATCTAAAAACTTTCTTTATATTTAATAACTTGCTATATATATTTGTGTTCTGCCGTGACCTCAGGTGCGGTGCTCGTTCACCCGCGAGTTACTTTGTATGCATTGTTTGTGTTTAGAAACCAGAAACTTCTTATATGTTTGTTTCATAATTAGTTTTATTAACTTTAATGATTATTGAAAACGCAATTATTTTTGTAAGTCTTTGTTTACAAATTAAATCATAAAAATGGCTTTAAAAGATTACTTTACGATAAAATACAGGTACACAAAATTACATTTACATAAAAAATGCATACTTTTTAAATAAAAAATAAGAATATACTAATAAAATCTATTATTTATAAATAAAATTTGACAATTTAAAAAGTATATATTATAAAACATTTGTTTTTGTAAACAAATATTTTATAATATATATTTTTTAAATTAATTAATTGTTTAAAAGATATACGTCTTTGCAAAGTGGCTCCAAGAATGAGCTATATTGTTGATAATATATTCTCAAAACAGTTTATGTTAGAAATGTCAAAACGTAACAAAAACATATTAACGGAATACTCTAAAACTTTATTTCGCTTAGTCAGCGTATTTTTTGATCCAATAGAATTAGTTTGTTCGTTAATTTGGCGGGTTTTTAGTGTTCACAAATATTCTTTTTATCCTTCCGCACCAAGATGTTTTGAGAACATTCAAGTTTATTATGTTTCCATGTATGTCCGTAAAACAAAAAGTTTTTGTTATGTACATAAACTTAAATTTTCTCAAAACAACTAAAAAACCTGGCCAGTTTTTTGCAACTAAATATTATTTCCATGGTCAGTATTTGAGAGCGATCGCTCCCACTTCCCGACCAAGCCTGCGATATTAGAATTATTTTTAAAAGCTCAAGTCACTTTTACCTTTAATTAAAAATCTATAACTCTTAAAGGTGAAATTACAGGTATAATAATACAGGTGGTTTTTTTTATACTGTTTTAACTCATGTTTTTGTTTTGTTAATTGATCTACAGCCATGTAGATCAATTGACAAGACATTTTTCTGACCATTAAATCTACCTTTAGTGTCTTTGAGTGGCCTAAAATGGTTTATTTTAGGTTTTTCTAGTTATTTGATTTAGTATGGAGTTTTTATACAGTTTATAACAGAATATTTCATTAAAATAAAAAAAGAGAAAAATTTCATCAACTTAAAACCACCTGCATTATCATAGTGACAATATTATAAACGGAATTAGGGTTGGCATTCGGCAATGCTGACCTAACTGCTGACCTAACTGCCCACCTAGTGTTTCAGGTTGGCTAAAAATTGCTGACCTTATTTCTATGTTTGAAAATATTAGCGACCTCATTTTTCTAACTCCAAGAGCTGCATATAAAATATACAAATAATATATACAAATATATTTATAATTAATTATATTTAAAATATAATTTCAAAATGTCTAGAGTTTAAATTTTTTTTAATGAGTTGTACTGAAATCTGTATGCACTTCAGTTTCTAATAGATCTTGAATAGATAATATATTTTTTTTATTTCATAGTGATATTGAAATTTCATGTTCTGTACATCACGGAAGAAAGTTAGAGTTTTATGACCAACAGTTGAAGCAACCTGTGTGCGCCTTGTGTGCTATATCTGAAAAATGTCAAGGACATCATATTGCACCAATAATTGAAATGGTTTGTTTTTAAATATTTTTTTAAAATACAATTAAACAAATTTTTTTTTTCATTATTGTTCTTCATTTTAGTTCTAAAATTCATTTTATCTCATTATTCCTAATAATTCATTCTGAATTTGAAGCTTAAAAAAATCACGTTTTAAATCATTTAACCACAGAAGTATAATAAAAATATAGTAAAGTTTTGTCTTGTGATTTTATTTGCAATTCTTATTTGCAAAATTTATAACAAGTTGCTACAGGACAACAAGAAAATTTGATAGTCAAATTTAAACTTGTATTTTATGTCAAAAAAAAGTTTTTTTTGACGTAAAAAAGTTTGTTATAATAATCAGTTAAAGTAGAAATATTTTTTAATGTTTGAAAGCAGATAGAGGCAAATATGTTTGAGTGTCCAAATAATCAGTTAAGTGTCAAAACAATCATTTTTAAATCAAATGATCAAAGTGTTGTGTAATAGTTACATACTTTTAATAAACACATTAAGTTACATACTTTTAATTACACACATTAAGTTACACACTTTTAATAACACACATTAATAGTTACATACTTTTAATTACACACATTAAGTTACATACTTTTAATAACACACATTAATAGTTACATAATTTTAATTACACACATTAAGTTACATACTTTTAATAACACACATTAATAGTTACATAATTTTAATTACACACATTAAGTTACATACTTTTAATAACACACATTAATAGTTACATAATTTTAATAACACACATTAATATTTACATACTTTTAATAACACACATTAATAGTTACATACTTTTAATAACACACATTAATAGTTACATACTTTTAATAACACACATTAATAGTTACATACTTTTAATAACACACATTAATAGTTACATACTTTTAATAACACACATTAATAGTTACATACTTTTAATAACACACATTAATAGTTACATACTTTTAATAACACACATTAATAGTTACATACTTTTAATAACACACATTAAGTTACATACTTTTAATAACACACATTAAGTTATTTGCTTAAATTTTAAATCTTATTATTATAATCAACATTTAATGATTTCACAAGTTTTACTGAACTATAATAAATGCTGTTTGAAAATGATACAAGTCTGTCAAAAGACTTAATTAGATACTGTGTTAAGGGACATACTTTTAGATACTGTGTTAAGCTGCTGTTTGAAAATGAAACAAGTCTGTCAAAAGACTTAATTAGATACTGTGTTAAGGGACATACTTTTAGATACTGTGTTAAGGGACATACTTTTAGATACTGTGTTAAGGGACATACTTTTAGATACTGTGTTAAGGGACATACTTTTAGATACTGTGTTAAGGGACATACTTTTAGATACTGTGTTAAGGGACATACTTTTAGATACTGTGTTAAGGGACATACTTTTAGATACTGTGTTAAGGGACATACTTTTAGATACTGTGTTAAGGGACATACTTTTAGATACTGTGTTAAGGGACATACTTTTAGATACTGTGTTAAGGGACATACTTTTAGATACTGTGTTAAGGGACATACTTTTAGATACTGTTGTTAAGGGACATACTTTTAGATACTGTTGTTAAGGGACATACTTTTAGATACTGTTGTTAAGGGACATACTTTTAGATACTGTTGTTAAGGGACATACTTTTAGATACTGTTGTTAAGGGACATACTTTTAGATACTGTGTTAAGGGACTCAAAATATGTTTTAAGATAAATAAGAGGCTACCACAAAAAAAAAACTTATCTTTAAAGCAAAGCAAATTAAAAACAATAAAAATTAAATTTTTTAATCAATACTGCAGTTGGCGGTTTGTGTGTTTTTTAAGTATCATACCAAGCAAATTATTTTATTATTATTTTACTAAACATTCAGATCAAATGTGTTTTTTAATGTCTTATATGTATATAAATTATTATTATCTAACACAGCTCGTGTATTTATGACGTTTTACAAAAAAATTTTAAATACAATTTTTACTCATAAAAATCTTCTCATCTTTTTTAAAATAATTTTAAAACTTATTTTAAAATTTTAAAATTAAAATTTTAATATTTAAAACTTGTTTTAAAATTATTTTAAAACTTATGCAATCTTTACACATAAAATTTGTTTCTTTAAAACGCTACACAAAAATAATACACAATAACATTTATTAATCTAAAAAAGATTTTATTCTTTGTTTTTTGTGAATATTTTATATCCCACAGGGCTTGAATTAACGCAAAATATTCTACTCGCAAAAAAAACACAAAACTTTTTGTTTCCCCCCCCCCCCCCCCTTATCTCTGGCACCACTCTGTGATATGGTGGAGAGGGTGGTTGTGTTAGTATAAATTTTTTTTTTTTAACACAAGTGCATAATCGTTATTTTTTTAACATAAATCTGTCCTATTTAAATATTATCTAATAATTTTCTTGTTTGGCGGAGTTTAAAATTGCATAATTTGCTGTTATAATTTGCAGCTTAATATATAGTTAAAAGTTTAAGTTGCAGTTATAGTGTAATGAGCAAGTTATGATATAATGAGCAAGTAAAGTATTTTATACTATTAGGATATTAATTTTAGGAATTGTTTTTACTTAACTTGATTCTTAAAAAAGTATAAGTAAAAATGCAAATATTACAATATTTAAACCCCTTTAATTAGTTGTAGAAAACTATTTAATACATTCATGCAGACATGGTCGGTCTGATGGGGGGTGTGGGAGTGTGTGACACACACACAGACCCCTATCAATAATTTTTTCGTTCATTTAGTTGGCAAATTTGACCTTTTTTGATTAGTCAGTCGGCAAATGTTGACCCTTTCAACAAATTAGTCAGTAAACTCAGAGAGTCAGTTGGCAAATGTTGATAAGCAGGGGTCGAATAAGTGTTGGACATTGCCGACCCTCAGACCATTTTTGAGACCTGCTGTATGAGGGCAACCAACCATTGTTCATTTTTACTGCAAAAATGAACAATGGTTTGTTGCCCTCATCTAGCAGGTCTTAAAAATGGTCTGAGGGGCGGCGATGTCCAGCACTTATTTGCCCCTTGATAAGGCAGTTAACAAATTTTATAAATCAAGGAATTTTTTTTTTTAAGTCGGTAAAAGTTGTCTTGACAACCCCTTCCCCCCCCCACCTTCCAAAAACAAAAAAAAACAAAAAAAACAAAAAACAACGCAAGTATTTATAGAAAATGTTTAATTTTGATATCGCTTTAAATAAAATTTAAATATAAAAAAATGGTATTGCGTTTTTTATACTCTATTAGACATTTCTTGTTAAAATAATTTTTAGTTAAAAGCTTATATTATGTGTTAACAACATATAGTATATACATAGAAACATTTGTATGGATAACATTTGTGACTCTTTGTGTATATAAAGTAAGTTAATATAGTTGATAAGTTAATACTTGAGTAACTGTAACTTACTGTAGTAACTTAACTGGTTGTTTTGATTTAGTTTATAAGTACATTTACTGTGATGTATTTTATCCATTCAGTAAATCAAAGTAAATATAAGGTTCAGGGTTGTTAAAGCCAATATTGTTGAAGCAAAAAAATTACTGTTTTTTTTTAGAAATAAATAACTATTATAAATTTTTTTTGATAAAAACAAATTTAATATATGTTTTTTAATATACTTAGTAAAATTAATAATATAAAATTATTGATAAAATAACAATTTAAATTATTAATAATAAGTTAATTTGGTGCAACCTTTTTAAAACAAAGATAAAAACCAGGTTGTTTTGTTAAAAAAAAAGAATGAAGGAAAAAATAAACTTTAACCTCTTTTGCTTTTTAAACTTTACGCCCTTTAAGGACCTTTTAAAGTATTATTGGCTTCCACGCAGAGAGTAATTGGAGTTCAAAAATGCTTTACGTTGAATGAAAATTCAACGTAATTTGATTCAACGTAAATCATTGAATGAATAATATCGTAAATCAATGAATTGAAAAAAAATGAAAATTCAACGTAATTTCATTCAACATAATTTGATTCAACGTAAATCATTGAATAAAAATTTCTTTCAGAAAATTTCATTCAACCTAAAGCAGGTAATTCAACGTAAAGCACGTAATTCAATGTAAAGCAGAACAAGAGATAATAAGAATGTTTTGTAAAATAATAGGAAAAGAGCAGATCAGAGCAGAATGATCAATTAAGATCATTCTTCTATTCAAAAATAAGTTTAGCGTGACGTACTTTATGAGCACTAATAAAAAAACATAAACAAAAACATTACTTTAAAGTATTTTCAAAAGAAAATGCTAAATTAGAAAATAAATAATTATCCAAAAAACCAAACAAAAAAACAAATTGCAAAAATATTTTTTTCAAGAAAAAACCGATCGCGAAGGTGTGAAAAGCGATACGCCTAATTCAAGCCCTGTCGCAGTTAAGAGAAGTAAAAGATAGAAATATGCACAAACAAAAAAGCCTGGCTAACACAGAAAATATATATTTTTTTGTTGTTCTAGCAAATTAATATACATAAATGTAAGAATTGCGCATTTTAGCAAATGCGCAGTTTTTAAAATGAGAAAACTTGATTATAAAAATTTGACTAAAAAATACGTATTTTTCACTTGTGGGTCTTTATTATTTTATATTTTTTGTTGAAATATTTTAATACCAAATGATCCGATGATTCATATTTTTAAAACAAAGTTTTGTTAAAAGTACATAAGTTTATTGCAATAAAAATTTGTTGAAAATTTTCGAAAATTTTGAGCAAATTTTTCCAGAAAACCATCCAATACCTATTAATTTGATATATGCATACTTTTAAACTAACAAAAAAACTACAGTTAATGTGAAAATTGCATATTTCAGTTGATGTATATTATTTTTACAGGCCTTCTCAAGAGACGCGTGCAGTTGCACGCCTTGAATGACCACGCATATATATATTTTTGTTGATAACATGGCCACGATTTTTTTTTGCATTTATTAAAAATAACACATTATAAAAACGGGCTGAAAAAACCAAATTAATTGCTCATCTTTTTTTTATTATTATTAATAATTCATTATATTAGTTATTAATGAGAAAATAAAACATTAAAATAACATATATGGGCAATTCCATTTTTAACTTACGTTACATGCGCAACAACTTTATCAAATATTTGCTTATTTAAACTTTTAAATTAAACTTTTAGCAATTTTGTATGAAAGCTGTTAGTCTAATAAATAAAGTAAGCTTAAAAGTTTTGAGTTCGGCCAAAAGCTTATTACTAAAAATGCCACTTGCACTTATGTTACACGGAAAACAAGGTAAAAAAACAAATTCAACTTATAGGTCTCATTTCTGCGAATTAGTTAAGCAGTTTATCGAATTATAAAATATCGAAAAGCAGTTAAGCGAATCAGTAAAGCAGTATTAGAAACTTTTACAAAATGCAGAGAATTCTATACTAATATATAATTTTTATAAAAACTTTTTTTAAATAAACTTGTTTTTTTGATACTGTATTTTTTACTTTTGATACTTTTTACATCACTTACATTATCAAACGGTTATCGTGATTTTTTTTATCTATTATTAAGAGTTAGAGTTACGTAACAAAAGAATTGCATAAGTATTGAACTTATTAAAAATAATTAACAAAGAATTTTTTAAAAAACTGGTGGCACTCTTCCTGAGTGATTTTTCATAACATTCATGAAAGTTATCAAACCGGAAACAGTTTTTTCGCAAGACCAAGAGCAACTTCAGAAAAATATTTTAGTTTTACATCCTTATTATTACTTAATTAAGTCATTGGTTTGTCGAAGTTTTTATTTACACTTCTTATGTTTATGCGTATTGCTTTATTTTTATAAGATTGAATATTTAAAATGCTGCTAAGTTAAATTTTTAAATATTTAAATCTTTTCTAAACATCTATACGTCAACCAAAATAATAGTACATAAACAAACAAAACAAAACAAAAAAACAATACAATAAATAATTTTAATACATAAGCATGTTTTTAAAATGCGTCATTTTAAATAAATGCAAAAAAAATCGTGGCCAAGTTATCAACAAAAAAGTATATATGCGTGGTCATTCAAGGCCTGCGACTGCATGCATCTCCTGAGAAGGCCTGTTTTATGTTAATTTTTTGTTTGTTTTAATGTTAATTCACCTTCCCTAGGTCAGGAAGACCACTACAGGCGAGGAGGCTACTTAATTGTGGTTATAACCTTCACTTAACTTTATAACCCCTGAAACACAAACCATAACAAACAAGGCCACTGTGCAGAGAAACAAGTTAAGGATGCATTACTACCAGGGACGTGGTGGTGATTGAACTCTATATATTTAGTTGTCAATAAATTATTTTTTGTAATTATTTTTCAGTTTGATAATAAAGATCTTCATAAAGCTTATCAACAGGTCCAAGAAACATTGTTTTGGTTGCAGCACTCAAAAGAGGTATACTAGTTCTTTATTACTATTTTGAAAAAGTTTTATTATAAAATAAATTAGTTTTAACAACATTGTTATAAATACTATTAAATGGTTTTATTTTTTTATTTATGAGTTTATAATAACAAACAAAAAGAAGAGGTAACAAAAATGGGTTACTATTTATCCTTGCAACCCTCGAAATTAGGGTCGGCATTCAGCAATGCCAACCTTACTGCTGACCTAAAAGTGTTTGAGGTTGGCAATTTTTTGCCGACCTCATTTTTATGTTTTATGGTCAGAGCTTTGTATCAAATAATTTTTGCCAACCTGATGCCGAGTTCAAAAAGATTGAGGTCGGCAAATTATTGCCGACCTCATTTTTCGTAGTTCCGAGGGTTGTCCTTGTACTTACACTACTTACTTTCATCTTTTAATAATTTGATATTCTGAATTTAGTAAAAATAGTAGAATATTTTTTTTATTTATGATGCATTTGGTTTAAAATATTTTTTTGTCATTTTTATCAGAAATTAAAAACATCTATACCTTCAGAAATTGATGAAGTTAACAAAATATTTACTGATATTCATTCAAAGTTTAATACAGCACACTCACTTCTTCAAAAGCGGTTTGTATATCTTTTATTTTAATTAAAGTTTAAATTAAAAGTTCTATTAGGAAAAAAAATTCATTCTTAATCAAAGGCTTCATATATCAGTCTTTCATAGGAAGACGTGCATTATATGACCATGCAAAAAATAATTTATTTTAACGATTTGACCACGGCTTTTGACATATTTTCAAAATTTAAAAATGTGTTACAAAAACTTACCTAAACTTTATAAAATCTTAACAAAAGAGAAAATTAAAAAAATACTTAACTAAAGCAAAAACACAAAAAAACTCATCAAACTTAAAATGCTTAGTCTATTAAATTTACGAATTAAAAAATCATTTCATTTGTTGTTTTAACATATATACTAGGTCAAATTATTATATTTCAACCAATGGCCTTTGGATCACAGGCCATTGGTTGAAATATTTTAAATGATTCAAATATTGAAATATTTGAATTATTTAAAATATAGGCAGCTTGTTGCAGTTTAGAACTCAAATATATCTAAAAGCAAAATGTCCACTCACCTAAAAACTCCAATTTTCAGCCATTTTGAGATGCTTGGAAATTATCTAAGATTAAGAGGATATAAGACCATTAGATCCAACTATCTGAAAATGCAAACATTATAAACTTTTTCAATCCATACAAAAAATGCCAGCATTTTTAAATAACCCTATTTTTCAATTATCAACAGCTGAATGTGTTACTAGAAACCAGTGCCCCTCTATTCTGCCAACTGACCTATATGAAGGGTGCGACTAATTATAAGCCATTTCTTAATAAAAAGAAAGATATGGTTGGTTGTCCTCTCCTTGATCTGGTCTTTATAGTAGGTATATGGTCTCTAAAGGTTTTTGTGGTGTGGAGTTTTTAGGCGAGTGGACAATTTGAATTTAGATATATTTGAGTTTTAAACTGCAGCAAGCTGCCTATGTTTTGCCCATTTATTGCAGACAGTAGTATATTATTGCAGACAGTAGTCTATTCTGATTGAATAGAATAATGCTACAGTTGGTTTCATTTTGGTATATTCTAGCAATTTTAGGATTTTTTCCAAAGTTGAGGAGGTCATGTTTTTCTTCTAATTTAACACAAGTTAATAAAAACCACTTTTTTAAAGAGAGAACTTTCCAGAAAATAGTTCTAGAAAAAACAAGACACTTATTGAAAGTGAGTAAAAAGTTATACAGCTCTAAAGTAGTCTGTTTTGACCATTTGTAAATTGAGGGGGTCACTGTGTCATGTTTCTAAGGCTGTAATTTCTGAACCGTTGTGCTTGGAAGTCTGAAATTTCAAGTTTAACCTATCTACATAATGCACATAACAATATGTAAAAATCAGGAAAATCAGAGATGGTGATCCACAAAGTTTTCTTCTAATTGGTTGAAATATAATGGTTTGACCCAAAAAACAAAGTACTTTGTTTTTTGTTTTTTAATATGTTTAAAGATAAACATCTATTATAAAAAGTACATAATTATACAAATAAAAAAATATAAAACAGTTTTTAATACTTACTATTAAAATTCATTAGAAGTATTTAGTTACTTCATTAAAAAGTGTTTCAATAATAAAAAAGCATTTAAGATCAAACTTATTTAATTGTAATGGCTTTCTAAAACATGTCTTTTTTTTTTCGAAAAAATTCTGTTTATCTTTTCAAATGTATTAACTTTAATTAATCTTATATTAAAATTTGTCAAAAGACTTTCGTTGTCGTAGAATGCCATTGTTTATAAAAACAAAGCAATTTTTATTTTTTTGATAATGTTTATTATAAAAAAATGCACACTTTAACAATTTATATATTATAAATTTAAAAAATATATACTGTCAATTATACTTTAAAAAAAAAACATTATCAGTAAATTGTTACTTTATTTAATAGCGTTTTGCTAATATAAGAATATTTGTTAAAAGTTTTGATGTAATTTATTTCACTTAAGGTATAATTCAGTATATTTTTCATTCAGCGTGTTTTATAGCAAAATGTAATTTGCAATAAAAATATGTGCGATCGCACATCTTCCTGTGAAAGATTGTATATATAACATATTGAATGCATAAAGTCTAACCAACAATAGGGACATCAATATATATATATATATATATATATATATATATATATATATATATATATATATATATATATATATATATATATATATACTTATATACATATATATATATACTTATTTACATATATATATATATATATACTTATATATATATATATATATATATATATATATATATATATATATATATATATATATATATATATATATATATACTTATATACATATATATATATATATATACTTATATACATATATATATATACTTATTTACATATATATATATATATACTTATATATATATATATATATATATATATATATATATACTTATATACATATATATATATATATATATATATATATATATATATATATATATATATACTTATATACATATATATATATATATATATATATATATATATATATATATATATATATATATATATATATATATATATATATATATATATATATATATATATATATATACTTATATACTTATATACATATATATATATATATATATATATATATATATATATATATACTTATATACATATATATATATATATATATATATATATATATATATATATATATATATATATATATACTTATATACATATATATATATATATATATATATTTATATATATATATTTATATATATATATATATACTTATATACTTATATACATATATATATATATATATATATATATATATATATATATATATACTTATATACTTATATACATATATATATATATATATATATACACACCCACACACATACTAAAGCGTATTTAAATAAAAAATTGTTACTAGTTTAGCCTATCTTTTTAGCATACAGCATTTTTTCAGTTTCAATTCCAGATTGTAACTCAGTTACAATCCCAAAGCAAATCAAAATTGTTTTAAATAGTGATGATGGCAATATTAAAAATGATAAAACTATAATAATAGGTGTTAATGATAGTAATTTTTTAATTCAATTACATATTTTATTACCTTTCAAAACATTATTTTACAATTAAACACTTAATTTATGCACCTTTTTTAACTTTTGCCCTTGATTCAATATCGGAAAATACTCAAGTTGGTGTAACAATTAAGATTCTAATAATTATAACATATAAACGTAAAGGATTTTACAGTATTTGTGAGTTATTTTTGTTTTTATCAAGAATTTGTTGTGATAAAAATATATTTTTTTTGATAAGTGATTTTTTACAAGCAATAAGCGCTCAAGAAAAGCAAAAAACTAATCACAATCGTTTTTATTCTCTGAAAGTAAATAAGTGAGCGTTATCATTAACTTACAATTTTTTTGTGTAGTTTACTTAGTACTGTGAAAAAATGTATAAAAGTTATGCTGAGCGTGAAAGGTTTTATAAAAAAATGGCAACATGCAAATTATAAAAAATATAATGTAAACTATAATATCATTTCAGTTGCCTTTCCTGCTGACCAACCAAAAACTTAAAGCATGCACTATTCTTAATAATATTTTTTGACAAGAAGCATGTCTTATGCTAAATATTATTTTTGTTATAGGCAAATAGAAATTCTTGAAGAAGTTGCAGATACTTTGCTTACAGATACAAGTTCTACAAATAAATTGGTAAGAGTTACAAAAATACAAAAGATTATTTTTACTTATTAATCTAAAACCATTATTTAACAATGTTAAGACTTAATACTATTTATCATGCATGGATTTATAAAATGTAGTTAATTATATATTTATATATATTATTTTATATATTTTATTATTTATAAATGTTACAATGTAATTAAAGTAATTTAAGATGTAATTAAGTTGTGTATATATATATATATATATATATATATATATATATATATATATATATATATATATATATATATATATATATATATATGTATATATATATTATATAAAACAGTGAAAACTACTAGTTGCAAGACTTATTTTGAGACTCTCACAATAACAAGATTTTTACTAAAAACAAGTTATGAGACCTTGTAGTAGTATTAAGTAGTACTAGTACTAACCAGTAGCGTAGCAACAAAAAATGGGTCCTTCTGCAAAATTTTAATTGAGGTCCAGTAATTAATTACCTATCCTCCCTCCCCTGCCCCTCTCTCTTTGACAAAAAATTTTACATGAAAGCAAAAACTTTATTTTAGAACACAATTTTAATTTAATGAAATAGAAACCAGGTTAAAGGCATGCAAAGGAATACAGAAATTTTTAACATGTAAAATGCAGGATTTATTCTAACTCTAACCCTTAGTTGATGTAGCATCACTACTTTGCATTTTTTCCCTAAATCAGTTGATATATTTACTAAAACCCCATGCCCCTGATATTTTTTGACTCTTTATTCTTGCATTTTAACAGTTAAAAATTTCCTCATTTTTGCATTTTATTATTGCCTTGTTATTATTAACAATATAAAATACTGTCTCTATCTTTAATTTTCGTTTTCAAATTTTTTTACCATTCAGAAAAAATATTCGCTAACTTTAAAGTCATTGCATTATTTCTGAAAAGCAAGTAGTATGTTATTGTTTTACAAAAAATGGCTTAATTATTAAGATTCTTAAGCTTTATTCCTGTATTTTGTGTTTAAACTCTACGGCATTGTATTTACGACTAAATAAGCTTTTGTTATTTATGAATTAATATAGTTTATTTGAATTTTTTAGATAAAAATAAACAAAAATACTATTTAAAGTAACTTTTTTTATTTTCCTTGGTTGGCTTGGGCCTCTAATAACTCTGGGTTCCCATGCAGCTGCGGGCCTTTCGCTACACAACTGGTACTAAGTAGTGCTAATTCTAGGTATTAAGTATTTTATTGTTACATATAGTAGTTTATTTATTAGATTAGTGAAAACTGCTATGTTATAGTTTGTTTATAGTTTTATTTGTTTTTAGGAAAAGTGCTTTTAAGAAAAAAAGTTTAAGGAAATGTGTGTTTACATTTTGTTTAGTAATTTGATAATTTTATTCAAAATTGTTAATTAATTTTTTATTCTAGATAGAATCTATATCAAAGAAACTAAGCTGTCTTAATGCAACACTTAAAGGTAACAAAAATAATGTTAATTTATATTTTTCTGAATTTGGTTTTCATACAAACTATGAGTTTTCTAAACATAAAACATTTATTGTAAATATGAATTAGCCTTTATTTTTTAAATCAATCAAGTGTTTTACAATGTGTGGATTGCAGTTGAAAGTGTCTCGTTCTAAGTCAAAAGTTGACTTGTCTGAAGTCAAAATCTTGACTTGACAAAAAGCTGCAAAACTATTACAGATAAACTTAGCATTAATAAAGTGGTTTATATGATGGGTTTAAGAAATAAAAACTGGTATTGATTGCTTTATTGATTTGGGAATTATAAGTCTGATTTACAAATCTGATTTATGAATTATATTTTCCCTAAATGAAAAAGTTAGGTTTAATAACTTAAAGTAGCAAAAAATCTATTCGCCTGTTAACAAATGATGGTCCTGCTGATGGTCTATGTTGTGCTAAGCACTGAGTTCACACTCAGTGCCTAATATAAAACAGACCATCATGTTTATATATACATATATATGTGTATATATATATATATATATATATATATATATATATATATATATATATATATATATATATATATATATATATATATATATATATATATATATATATATATATATATATATATATATATATATATATATATATATATATATATATATATATATATATATATATATGTATGTATATATATATATATATATATATATATATATATATATATATATATATATATATATATATATATATATATATATATATATATATATATATATATATACTTAATTTATATATATGTATAAATTAATAGAAGTATATAGTATAATATGTAATAATTAAATAGAAATAACAAAAACAACTGTAAAAAAAATATTTTTATGTAAAATATTAAATTTAAATGTGTATAAATAAAGATAGACATGTCTAGCTTTATTTATACATATTTTGATTTGATTTGAAAGTGGTATCACATTTCTTTAGCTCTGAAATTGATTTCTGTGCAAATCTAAAAGTCAAAGTAGAAATTGTTTCTGGTCTTGATCCTTTATTATGATAGAGTTGAATGTGATAATACTGACAATTCCTCTTTTCACACAACAGTAAATGACTTTTATAAGATAAAATTTATGTTGTATTTCAAGATAAACCGGATCAGTTGTCCAATTGATCAAGTTTATCTTTAATTTTATTAACTAAAAATGTTTCTGCCTTTTCATTTGCTACATAAGCAGAGAATGGTTTCCAATGGTCAAAGAGCTTTCTGTTTAGACTGATGTTTTAAATTGTTAACCATATTCTTTGTATTGATATCACCTTGGGTATCAAAAAAAGTTAAACTGATCAAGCTCTCAAAAAGGTAATGAAGATAGCGATTAAAAGCTTTTGGTGCAGCCTCTGCAGCTATACAGTTTTGAAACTCCTTTCTATTCTTCGTAGATTAGTGTGACAAAAAGACTTTTTTTAATTTAAAATTTTTTTGATGTGTTTTGTTCAGTAACATGCAGCTGCAGTAACATCTAAATGTTAAATGTGGGTGGAGTGAAAATAACTTTTTTTTAGAAATTTATTATTTTTTGATTTCTATATTAGTTATTAATTTATGAAAATTTCTATATTAGTTATTAATTTATGAAAATCTGTAATAAAAAAAATATTTAGTTTTTTCTACAATTTTTATCATATTTATATAATTTTTTTTAATGTTTATTTCATTTCTATTTTTATTTTCAAACATATTTAAATTTATTATTTTATTATAAAAATATATTTTCATATTTATTTTTGTTATTTCTATTTACTATATACTATAATTCATTTTTTTTTTAAAACCTTTTTACAAAAACAATTAATTACAGTAACTATTCTTAAACCTTGCCTTAGTGCTAACCCTAAGCTTGACCTTCATGCTGACCCAAACCAAACCCTCAGTCGATGTAGCAGCACTCTGTTATGAGTCAGGCTATTTGATAGCCGATGTATATACTTTTTGTTCGCCATAAAAGTTGCTTATAAGGACAATTTATTTCTCCAAAAAATGATGCTTACATGGACAAAATATTAATGGGTACACAAAAATGTCCTCAAAAATGCTAATGTCCCTGTAATGCAGTAGTAGTGTAGTGGTTGAACGCTTGCTTCATAAACAAGAGGTTCCTATCCCCACCATGTCCCTGGTAGTATGGCGCTCAACTCGTTTCTCTGCAGCGCGGCCTTGTTAGCAAAGGTTTGTGTTTTGGAGTCATAGAATTGAGAGAGGGTTTTAACCACAAATAAGTAGCTTCCTTGAGGCAGTGAATAAGAAAAAAAAAAGTATTTTTTTTGTAAAATCTGTCCCTGTAAGGTTATGTATTTTATTTCAAATTTAAAGAGTATGGTTTGAGTATTATCATTATTTTTATGTTTAATAAATAATATTACATTAATGAAAAGTAAAAATAATATAATAATAAGTTAAAAATAAAACAAAAATATTTAAAAAATAAAACTTTGATATTTATTTTTTTTTTAAACTATTATATTAGATTATATTGTTATTAGACTATGAATGTGTGAAAAAAGACCAAAGAATAATGAGTTTGAAATCTTCTAAGGTAATTAGTCAAGTATAGCATTAAATTATATCTTATGATAATTTTCATAAATTAAAAATTTTATCTTTTTTCCTAAGTAATAAAATTAAATATTTTGAAATAACTAATTATTAATTTAGTTAAACATGTGTTTTAGCAACACCCCTGTGTTTAACAACATGTGTTTTAGTAACACCCCTGTGTTTAACAACATGTGTTTTAAGACTACAATGACTACTGAAGTATGATAAAATCGATATTTATTTTCATTCGTTTTTGTTTCATTTCAAAATGCTGTATATTCAAATATTACTTATTAGCAAAACACTTTATATCCATTTTAATTTATTTCTTTCACAATAATTGTGTTATTTTTTTTAAGATCTACCTGCAAAACACGGATTTTCTAACATTTATCATATTGTTTTTATAATATTGTTATTTCGTATTACTTAGTTTAACTAATTATGAACAAAAAAATTTTTAAACAACTCACGAAGGTAACTTTGTGAGTTGTAATAAAAAATAAAAAAGCATATAAAATAGTAGTTCATATAAGTAGTAGTTCATATAAAAAATAAAAAAGCTAAATAAATAGTAGTTCATGGCACTTGTCATGAACTAGCTCTTTTGATTTAATAAAAGAAATTCAAATAAAACACAAAATACAATAGTTTATTCTGGAAAAAAAAGTTTGCCTAATTCAATAATTAAACATCAAATAATGCATACTAAAAGAATTCACAGCTAAAAAATCTAAATGAAGTATCTGATTCATTAAAATCAGTAACATCTTTAGTGGCTTCTTCAGTAACATTTTTAGTGGCTTTGCTGAGTGGTGTTTTATACATGGCAAGTATTCTGTCTTGTACTCCTACAAGACAAAGGAGAGGAAAAACATTTTCTTTTTTAGCAAGCTTAACACAGTTTTTTAATTCCAAATATTTTGGTTGGAAATTGTCCCATTTTTTCCCTTTTTTATGGAGGCTGTGAGATTTGGGCTCAAAATGGTTACTGCTTGCAACCACTTCTAGCTTATCAGAATAAATAAGGAGTATTTTTGCTTTACTGATTTTAAATTTTTTTGTGTTCTTGAAAAACTTTTTCACTTCTGATTTGAAGTCAAGTGCTGACTAGTTTTGCACATAAACCATGACTTTTCCATGTCGGCTAAGTATTCATTAGGTTCTAGAACTTTATATATTTTATATTTGAGTGCCCACATTCTAGATACGTATGTGTAATATGCAATTTTTTGAAACATTGCTTTCTTAGAGCAAGAAGCATAGATGTCATGTTTATGCTTTTGTTCTGCCCATAGCATGATTCAGAAAACAGCTGAAGTGATAAAACAGCAGAACACTTGTTCATTAAATCATTTTTTATCAGAAGTTGTATAGCTGAACAGATCATATTTGAATCTTTCCTATTCTCACACTCAAGCTGCATTAAAAAAAAAACTTTCTTTAACAGACTGAGATTTATTACCCCTGTGAATAACAATACTTAGAACATATAAATAAAGCTGCCAAGAATAGTAGGCTTTTCCTATTGATAATTCTAGAAGTACAAGACCAATCATGTCAAAGCAGATAATCATTTCATTCAGGTAGATATCGTTAAACAGTCTGTAAAATTTTCTTGCTTTCCTTTGGTGAAGAATGAAAAGAGCAGTTTTTCTTTTCTTTTGCTCATCAGTAATATTTTTCATAGACAACTTGAACGATTGACATGTAGAATATAAATGTTGCTGGGTTTTCAGATGCTAAATTGTAATGGTTTATAAATATCACATAATAATAACCGTAGCCTACATTTTGAGCAATAGTTGTACTATTTTTATTCAAAAAAATTTGGTACATGCGTTTTGCATTCAAATCAGAAGGCAGATATTGACGTCCAGGAGCACCTTTTCTTCTATAAAAATTTGTTCTGCATGTAAAAGTCTGAATGTGGCTTTCAATAGCTTCTTTTGTTTCAGAAAAATCTGTTTTCATTCTTGTCTCCTCTTCTATTTTCAGGTCTGGTTGCTCCATGCTCATGTCTTGCAAGTCTTATAACTCTATTAGGATAATATAAATATTGACTTTTATCACTAAAAGATTATTTGCAACAAATATATATGCATAATTTATGCAAATTATTCTAAATTAAAAGTTAAGTACTTGTACACTTACACAATACTGAACAAAATGAAGCTTGAGCAAACTTGTAGTTAATATCCTTCAACGCATAAAAAGTACTGAATGCTCATAGTTCTTAACTTTTTTTGCTCATTATTTTTCACTCTGGCTCTTTTAATACTGACTATATTAGGCATTGATAGTATAGAAGCATCCTGTGACACTTTGTTGGTATTACAATAGAATTATGAATGGCATTTAACCAGATTGTCTGGTATAATATCTCAAGCATAAAATAAATTTGTTATGAATTTAAAGATTATTATAACAATGTTATAACAATATTCTCAATAAAATTGAATAAACTTAACTTGTAAAAGCCTGCAACTTGATTGCTTGATATAGAAGGAATTTTTTCTCCACTTGAATGTCGAAATAACTTTTTTATTTCTCTTGCTGAACATTGCTTCTTTTTTTTTCACAGTTTGTTTGCAAATTGTTTTTGCATTCATTTCTTTAATTATTATTATCTTGTCACAGTTAAATCTTTGTTTGCTTTTACTATGTCTAGTATTTCCATCTAATTCACATTTGTGATTTTTTAAATTTTATAGTTCGTCACATTTGTATCTAAGTTAGTCTTTTCACCAGTCTTCTTGAAGTATGACTGAGCAGGGATTGTAATTTTGTTTTGGCTACAATATCATTCGTGTTCATGGAATACAGAAGAAAAAAAAGTTTTTCAAATGTATTTCATGTTTGGGTCTCAAAAAAAGCAAAATTTTATAAAAATTTCAAAAATACTAAAGTTTTACACAAGAATTATTATTATTTTTTAACAGAAAATTAAAAAAAAAAACATTTTTTTATGGTTTTTGTCAACATTTTTTTTCCAGGTATTTTTAACAAATGATAAGTATTTTTGAAGTTCTTATACAGTTTCGCTTCTTTTGTGACCCATACATTTAAAAAACTTTTTCTTCTTCTGTTTAGGCTCTGGTTGCAAGTTTCAGACTTGAGGTAGCCCCCCCTAAATCTCATTCAGTTTTTAAAAAATTTAACAGAGTGTCTTGTGATAACCAATAGAAAGTTTTAAGAATAGGGACAGATCAATTTTTGAAAGTATGGGGCGAATGCACCCTAATATATAAATCCTAAATGCTTTTTAATTACATGTACATTTTTTTTTAAAAAGGTGTACAATTAATTAACTTTTTTCTTAATGAGCTTTTAATGCTCCACATTTGGAGGAATTCATCATAACCGCATAGTCATCAAAATCTGTTTGATTTCGATGACTTACATTATGTAGTAAATTTGCATCTTTTTTTTTGCATGTATGGTTTAAGAATTAAAAACCCTAAATAAAAATAGTTGTACTTTGGTCCAATTTTTTTTTCTTATTGAATACTGTGCAATGCTTCTGTTATTTTAAAAGTTTATATTTGTATATTAATTTTATAGTTATTGAAATCATTAAATGACTTTGTTGATATACCCTGCATTTTACAAATTGATCAAGATGGTTATAGGATTAAGTAAGTTATTTTTTAAAAATAAAAATTTAAAAATATTTTTTTAACTTTATTTTTTTACTTTTTTTTTTTATGTATTTTTTGATTAACAGACACACATTTGTAAACAAAAAAAACTTTTTACTGGTAGCTATGATAAAATATGTTGTTTATTATTCATAAACAACATCTTAACAACATTTTCACATAAAAATAGTTTTATAAGTTTTGTATTTATTTTATTTAGGTCTCATTTGAATGAAGACTTCATTTATGAATGTGTTTTTTTAAAAACTCAGAAAAATGAAAAGTTTGTTATTGTTTTGATTGATATTGTTTACATTTTTTTGGAAAATATTTATATAAATGTTATATTTGTTTATTTTAATATTTATAAATAAATTTTATCTTGTTAAATTGCAACAAATAACTTTCAGCTGATATTACTAATTGTTAGGTGTACTTACCATTATTCTTAGTTTTATTTTAGATTTAAGTTGAAAAAACTAAATGAAGTATCCACTGAAAGTTTGGAAAAAATAATGAACCCTTCTGTTTCAAGTGCCGAAAACTGTTTTTTCAGTCATAATTACACTGATATTTTTGACACAAGTAGAAGTGGTAGATTTTTTTTTTTTTTTCAATTTTATTTTTTATTTTTCTTAAGAAAAATTATTTGTTAAAAAAGAAAGATTTCATTTTACAAAATATGTTTCAACTTTAAGTTTTAGTTAAGTTTTAGTTATTTTATGTTACAGCTAATGATCTTGTTAATGTAACTTTTGTGGAAGATCCCTATAACTTCACAGTACAGTTAAATGCTGACAAGGAACGCTTACTAGTCATGATGTCAGCACTCAATAAACATTGTCGAAGTGCTAATTCTCAAACTGACCTTGTGTACAAAGTAGAAAAAGGTAATAAATTTTTTTATTATTATTTTTTTAAATGTTTGTAAACTCTAAAGCTTTGTTTAAGTATGAATGATTCTTATAAATCTATCAATCATTTATTTTATAAAATTGTTTTAGGTCAGTTATTTTGTGCCCAGTTCTCAGTTGATAATTTTTGGTATCGTGCTCGAGTGGTAACATCCCACCCCCCAAATAAACCAGAACTTATTCCAACTTGGAACAATGACTTGACTATACAAGTTCATTATGTAGATTTCGGAAATAAAGAATGGTTACCACTTAATAGGTGTTTTGTTTTATACTTTTTGTTTGATATTTTATTTATTTTGTTTTAAAATTTTTTTTAAAATGTACAAAAAATAATTTTTATGTTTTGTTAAAGGTTAAGACAAATAAAAAAAGAATTTTTTGAATTACCAGAAATGGGAATGCCATGCTCACTAACAGATATTGTTCCTCCATGCCAGGTATAACATTCATCTTTGATTGCATCAGCGGTTGTTTTTTGCTGAAATTTTATGACTATAAATTTTTTTGCATGTCTTATTTATTAATCTTTAGGCGCAATCTTGGTCGACTCGATCAATCAAGGCATTTAAATCTTTAGTTGCTGATAAAACATTACTAATGACGGTGAGTTAGTTTGTTTATTTTTATAAAAAAATAGTATAGTATAGTTTTTATGCTGCAACTGGTACACCAATGCTGCACCAGCAAGTGTGAATTGATAAGTGAAAAGTTTGAATTAACAGGTTTTGTTTTATAATTTCAAGATCAATGGATAAGTATTTTTAATTGAATACTGATTTTTGAATTTACTATAATAACAGAGTTAATGAAAAAACTGAAAAAATTGGGACCAGAAATATTTTAAGATATTGCAATTTGCAATCACATAGTTCAACCCTTGTGTACAACTCTGTTTGGTATGTCCAATTCTATTACTAATAATTTATTTGTCATATCTAAACTTGTAACCACTGATATAATTTTAAAATAATTGTGGATGAAGCTCAACTTTGGTAAGATGATATTTATGCCAAGTATTTTATATTGGAAATTAATTTAGTTGGCTCTGTGTTTTTTCCAAGTTATAAATTTCTGAAACATCTAGCCAATATGTAGTTGCATAAATACTTTGTATAATAACTTAATTAATATATTACTTTGATTTACATAGTTTTTTGATTTGACCCAAAATTAAATATGTTTTGATGCAATTGTTGTGCAATTTGTTGTTTCAACACAAGATCAATTGAAAGTTTTAAAATTGTCTCTAAAATAGTCTTAAAACTTTTCCATCATTATCCGTGATGTCATCATTATCTATCATCATTATTTATATTATCTGTTATATACAAACATTTCAGTTGTATTTTATTTTTATTATCTGTTACATACAAACTATTCAGTCATATTTTATTTTTATTATACCGTGTTTACTAATTCTATAAATATAAATAAAATCATAACACAAGCAATTGAGTGTATCGATCTGATCAATATACTTAAAATTGAAGCTGTTGATCTAAGATTGATCAACAGCTTCAATAAAAAAAGAAAATATGATATTTGTATTGATATTGGCGCAATATTAACACAAGCATCACTTCTTCCTATCTAAATATAGTATTAAAACTATGGATTGCAGATAACAGAATGCTGTAAAACAAAGCAGTCAAAGTGGGGAATAAATCTTGCATTTTGGATTAAGAGGTCAGAAAATGTACCCAATGTACAGACCAAACATGGCTGACATGGTTGCTAAGGTGTTGCAATGGATAAAAATCACCTTATTGCATAATATTGTAAATTTTTTTATCACGAAGCATAATTTAAAACAAGTTACATATTCATAGAAGTAAAAAAAAGTAATAATGTTTCTAAAGGATCGTCCATAAATTATGCAATGCAAAATATATTTTAAAAACATAAGTTGGATATATTAAGCTCTTTTGTGAGGCGATTTTCATTAAATTTAATAGACTATTTTGATTTTTTATTTAGATTAAGGCTCTGCGAGGATCAAAAGTTTCCCTGCGAGGAAAACTTTTGATCTTTTTTTGTTTTGTTTAGGGGAAGTTCGTGTATCTAGGGCCGGATTTTTTCAATGACCCGATTCAAGGCCCCGGGCTTGTCAGAAAATGGTGAAACTGATATGATCCCATCTTTATACTAATTAGTTTGTATTAATATAGGTATAACTACTTAGAATATAAAAGTACGTCATGTAGAAGAGTTTAAAAATTAGTGGATAGTTACAATGAGCTTTTTTTTAATTGTACCTAGGACAACCAGCTATTGTACCTAGGGCCGCTCTCTATAAATTAGTTTTAACTCCATAATCAATAGACTACAAAGATAGTCATCTCAAGATTTTTAAACAAGTTTTCTTTTTTTTGCCTTTCTAATTTTTGTTGCACATTAAAGTGCAATAGTGTTTATTTCTGGAGTGTCAGTGAGAATTCACTGACACTCCAGAAATTCACTCCACAAATTCATGAGAATTCAACATTTACCTGGTTTTTTACCTCCTATTTTAGATAAATGAGGTTTTGCTTTCGGAAAAGGACAGACCTGTTCTGGCATTATACATGATGACATTATACATGAAACAGATTTTGATAGAGAAAAGGGTATTCCATTGCAGATGAATCGTTGCCTTGTACAGGAATATAATTGTTTTGTGAATTCATTTTTTTAATTAGAAATAGAATTGTTTGGACAATTTAATGCTGGATCTTGTCTGTTGGTTGCACTTGAACTCAAATATTCATCATCAGTAAATATGTTTTGATTTATCTGGCCATACAACAGGTACACGAAAACCTGCTGGAATGTTTAAAGGAGTAAAAGCCAAAGGATAAGATTTGCTAATGTTTTCTGCAACCTCATATATGGTGATTGGCTTTCCTGGATTTGACAGCATCCAATCACTACAAGCTGTGCTGTAGTATTTCTTTAAAGGTCCAAAAACATATCTGTCTAATGGCTGAAGCTTATGGCTGGTATGTGGAGGAAAAGTAAGCATTATTATACCATTTTCTTTAGCCAAAGCAATCCCTTCAATACTTACACAACTTTCATGGTTATCTAATAGTAATAATACTGGCTGCTCTACAGAACATTTGATATGGTAAATAAAATGTTTCAAAAACTTTAAAAAAATTTCAGCATTTGACCATCCACTTATATGTGCTGTTCCCTTAGTTCCTGGTGGTCCTCCCTTCAGCACATGATTTTTGAAGTTCGCCCTTAAAAAAATCATCATAAGGGTAAGGAATTTCCGACTGCATTTACACAGCTAATAATAGTTATATTAGTTCCTCGTTCACCAGAAGTTGAGCTCCCAATCTTTTTTTTGCCTTTTGGGGCGACAACCTTAACAGGTGTGTGCACATTTGTAATACCTGTTTCATCCACATTAAAGATACATTCAGGCAAAAACATATATTTTGAGAAAACTTCAAGATATTTTGAAAAAAATAATGAAACATTTGCTTTGTTGAAACTGTTGGCTCTTGCTAAACATGTGGCTTGCGGCTTCCTTAGTGAAAGAAACTTATTTCTTTTCATAAAATCAGAATACCATTGCTCACCGGCTTTACTATTTTTATCCCAGGAGGTTGGATATTTTTTAGCATTGGCTTTTGCATATTCAAAAGCAAGCTTTTTAAGCTGTGGCTTTGACAGTCCAAAATGCATATTGCTTGCAATGACAAGGTAACTAAGGCTTTTTTCATCATTAGAGAATACATTCCAAACAGCACATCAATTAAAATATTGGTATTTTGGTTCAGCATTTTTAGAACTATTCTTTTGACAAAAGTTTATATGTCTTTGGAGTGTTGTTCTGCTGATACTAAAATATCGTGCTGCAGTCCTAACTGGAAATCCTTCCTTCATTACTGCTTCTGAAGCAAGTTACACTATCTACATTAGGTTTTGATCACTTTTTTCCATTATTATTCCTAGGTATCTGAAAAAATAGTTAAAAAAATTTCTAATATTATTAAAGTGAAATATAAACAAATTTTTAAAATGTGTAAAGATAAATTTAATAAATACAAAGTTATCAAAATAAACAAAATTTATTTTGATCAAAATACCTGAATGCCTATGAATTTAAAAAGTAAATATGCAATATTAAAATAATAACAAAAAAAATTTTTCTTCGCTGCTACAATAACAACAACAACTTTAAACAAAAATCTAAAATCTAAAGCCACAGAGATTTAGATTTATCAAAAGCAAAAACATTTTAATATAACAAAAGGTGTGTAGCAAAATTTATAACTCTTATAATTAAAATATAAATATCACATTGCTATACATCGCTGTAAAGTAAAAAAAGTAGATAATTATACAAACATTAAGTACTCAGTTTGGTTGAAACACGTATATAAATAACAAAATTGACTATAATTCTGAGCAAAATTAACGAACTCTATGCTTTAAATGGTTCCGCCAATCGGAATTTAGCAATCTACCTCGTGATCAAACAAATTCTTTATCAGAGAAACAAACATATGGCCTTAGGTACAAGCAAACTATATGGCCCTAGGTACAAGATTTGATGGCCTCATGAAACGTCATCTATTAACGAATCCACATTGAGGGTAAACTTATTGAACATTGCATTAAGTACTTAAGTAACAAAAAATATTATCTACTAGAACCTATAGAAAAGGACTTCCTCTAGGACTGTAAAACAATATAATATAAAAGCAGCAAAACTTTACTTTAGACCTTCAAAAAACGTTTTCTAATTATAACTTGCCGTGGCAGCGCTCTCTGAAAATCAAAATAGGATTAAAAAATTTTTTTTTTTAAACTTAATACCCTGACTGAACATTTTAGAACATATTAGATTTAAAATAAAGTTCGGTGGCCCTATATGTCAAGGCTGATGTTTCAAAGTTAAAGGGATGATAGAAGGTTCTGATAACTATTTAAAAAAAAAAGAATTATTATTTTCCTTTACTGTAGTTGCCCCCTTTACAGTAGTGGGCCCTTCTGTTTTGAGAAGGTGAATACAGTAAAAGCAGAAACTCAATATTATTCCCAAAGATTTTAAAATGCAGTAGGGGAACTTAGTTTTTTTTTTTAAAAAAAAAAGCTTTTATTTGTATTATATGAAAAAGACATTTAATACCAGGCATTTCAACTCTCTTGAAGCCTTGCAAGCAACCACTATTTAAGTTATTAGTTAACAGAATTTACAACAAAAAAAGAGAGTTAAATAACAAGAAAGCATATGACAGAAAACTTAAAAAGTGTAAATTGTATAAGTCAGAAAAATATTAGAATAGGAGAGATTTCCATAGCACCAATTGTTTAGGATAAAAAAAATTTATTATTAAAAGTTATTTGAACACAAAGGAACAGTTACAGTAAATAAATACAACTTGACTAAATGATGATTAACTAAAAATTGCTCTAAAGTTAATATTGAATTTTTGTTGATGGAACAAGTGCTTGCTTGAGCTGTGGCCATGGTAATAATTTTAGAAAAAAAAATACATTTTCAGATATCATTAAGAGAACTAACACTAATATGTCAAAAGTATTCCATACTTATATTCCAGAAGAATGAATTATTCTTAGAGACAATGGAATACAGAGTAAAAAGAATGGAGAGCACAAATTAAATTGTATAAAAATTTGAGGCTTAATTGATTTTTGAATACTTGACACATCATAAATTCTGTTTATTAGTATTTGTATTAAATCTATAATACTTTTTTTTTTACTAGTTTAAACAGTTATTTTTTGATAAAGATAAAGAGTATTAAACAATATTTTTTGCTGTAGTTTAGTATTTAAATATAATTTTATATTTTCTTACATAGACTTTTGAATGCTGTTCTAATAAGTATATTGTTGACTTGCAACTACATAATACCTTGGCACAAACAAACATTGAAAATGATCGGCCAGCATCAATTCGAGATGCATTAGTATTTATAGAAGTTGCATCATATTCGCCACACTCAAAACTTAAAATTGGTAATTACTTAATTAATAATATTATTTTTTATACTTAAAAAGTTTTTTTCTTATTATTAAAATTGAATTTAATATAATAATAAAAAAAAGAAGTGCAGTATTTTATGCTACTAATAAGATGTTTAACATATATTGGCATAAGTATTATTCATTTTAAAAAACAATTATTGTTTCTGGTGAAATTGAAATGGTGCCAAACATTAAATCATAGGTGTTTGTAAGTAAGTTTTAAATTTTTTTTGATATTTATTATGATTGCTCCATTTTTTCCTATGATTGCTGTTGAAGATTTTCCAAAAGTCTCTTGAGCCTAACTTCTGAGACATGATACGAGATTTGGTTAACTGGGAAAAATGGAGCTTAGCATGAGACAGCACCTTTTTACATTGGTTTCTTGCGATAATAAACAGGTATTTTTTCTCAAAAGATTTGTTCTTTTTAAAAAGATTTTAAAAAATGATAAAAGCTTCTATACTTGGATCCAGGAGGTTACTTAGGAGGGGCATCTATCAGTAGAGATAGAAAAGACATTAGCCGAAAAACATCACAAAGAAAATCATGAAAAGAATCACAGTCAGCTTAAGGGTAGTAGTAAGTAATGCCACGATACGGTGAGTACAAAGAAAATCTGAGTTAAAGATTGAGAAATACAGAAGTTATGGGCTTTAGTGCCAGCAGGTTCAGTTGTGTTGAGTTACCAATAGCATTAAAATTACCAATAGCAATAATATTGGCAGCTGGGTAAAGAGAAAGACCACTGTCAATTTGATCAGAAATTACATCTTAAAGAGTGCAGTCTTGAGAATAAGGAGAATGAAATGAATGAGAATAAGAAGAAAGGCGATAGAGTGAAGAGGTGCTAAGCGGAAGCACATAAAAGAATGGTCAGAGGATTCAACTTAATTTCTCTACAAATAGGTGAATGGATACATAAGTATACACCCTCAAGCATGTAACTATTGGAGTCTTTATGAATCAAAGGAATAATTTACAGAATAAAGTATTACAGCACTTTTTTTTCAGGAAGTTTAAGAAATTTATGTTAATATGTTACATATGTAGTTAATGTAAGAAAACTTTTTTAAAATTACTAATGTAAATTGCCAACAATATGTCATTTAAAACTATACAAATGTAAAAATTCTATTTATATATTTTATGAACAAGCCCTCTATATATGCACAATAAATGGGGGTTTATCTATGCTTGAATTGTCACTGAGGGTTTGGGCACATTAACTGAAGGTTAAGATGATTTAAAGAATAAAAATCTGAAAAATGTTGCCTATCTCATATATTTAATGTTTACATGAATTTGATTTGTAATTTATGACATCAAGAATAAAATGTTGCATATCTCATATATTTAATGTTGACATGAATTTGATTTGTAATTTATGACATCAAGAATAAAATGTTGCATATCTCATATATTTAATGTTTACATGAATTTGATTTGTAATTTATGACATCAAGAATAAAATGTTGCATATCTCATATATTTAATGTTTACATGAATTTGATTTGTAATTTATGACATCAAGAATAAAATGTTGCATATCTCATATATTTAATGTTTACATGAATTTGATTTGTAATTTATGACATCAAGAATAAAATGTTGCATATCTCATATATTTAATGTTTACATGAATTTGATTTGTAATTTATGACATCAAGAATAAAATGTTGCATATCTCATATATTTAATGTTGACATGAATTTGATTTGTAATTTATGACATCAAGAATAAAATGACAATATACAACAAGTTAATATATAGAACAATTTTTTTTTTCTTTTAAATCTAGAAATTAGTTTCATGGGCTAAACATCTTTAGGTATTTTTTTTTAATAGCAATTTTTTTTTTAGATGTTAATCAATATATTAGAAAATACAAAGATGCAGTTTGTTTAACTAAAAAAGAGATGGTTAGTGTCTGTGTAACTAATATTGAAAGTCCTGAATATCTTTTCATTCAAAGAGTAAGTTAAATTTTGGTATTTGATAAAGCACCTGTAAAAAAAAAAAAGTTTTTTTTGTTATTTTCATTGTCTATTAATTTTTATAATTATAATTTGATTGTCTATTAATTTTTATAATATTTATATTTATTTTAGCTTGATTCTTCAATATTAGAAATACAGGATGGTTTGTCCAAGTTATACAGAGACCAAAATAATAGTAAAATATGGACAATTGAGTGGCCATATAAAGGTTAATTTGTCACCTTTAATTTTTATAACTATGAATTAATGCTATAAATTAATAATTATAAATAAAAAGATTTTTTATAAACTTTTAAAGCTCCATTTATTGTTTTTCTTTTTTAATGTTACTAAAAAAATAAAGCTTTTTAAATTTTTAGTTTTTTATAAGCAACAAAGATTTAGAAATCATTTTAGACCATTATTGATTTTATGGTTTTCTTTATTTTTGTCTTTTTAATAGCTACAAGAAATAGTATATTTCTTTTTGATTTACACTAAAGACTCTGCTTATAATTTTATAAAATATTACAAATAAATTTTGACTTATTGATGTAAAAGACAGATTTTTAACTTCAGATAACTAAACATGGTGGCCACGCCTCCTAAAATATCCTAATATTCGAAAAACATCCTAAAAAGACCTAATTTCTATTAAATTATAGATGATTTTCTCAAATACTCCTAAATTCTCCTAATTTATTTGTCCTGATTATAAGGCATAAACTATTATCAGCCAATCAACAAAAAAGTTAATGAAATGATTCAGACTTGGAGTTATTGAGAAAAAATAAGTTACTTAAATGTTTAATTAATATTTTTTAATATTTTAATAATTTAAAAATTTGTTCTAATAAAATTTAAGCTTTTTTTATTTATTTCTATGTTCTGAACATCAAAATTATTTTTATAAAAATTTAGTTTTAATTAAGTTGACCTAAAATTATTCTATATTTTCAGAATAGAAAATGTCACTCAAATATAAAGCTAAATTTTAAGAGCGGTTAAAAGACAATAATTTAAAAAAAATTTATTTGGTTAAAACCCAGAAGCAGCACTGTGTCCACAGCAAACTTCTATTGTATTTGTTGCAGAGTTGCAGTTAGCAAAGAAAGCAGAGATAATGTGGGCAGTTGATGTTGCACTTTCAAAACATTCTTTTTGATCAAATGCAAACAAATCTGAATTATTTACTGCAATGTTTAGTGATAGTCAAATAGCTAAAAAAATTTTCTCGTGGAAAAACAAAGTGCACTTATCTTGTTTGCTTCAGAGTTGCACCATATTTAAAGGAAATTTTGTGTGAGACATCAGAGCTTGATTAGTTTGTTTGCCAATTTGATTAATCTTACAACCAAGTTGTCAAAAAGAGTCAGATGGATTTGCATGTTAGATATTGGGACTCCTCATTAGAGATGGTAAAAACAAGATATTACTACTCTAAATTCTTGGGAAAAGCTGTTGCTGTCAATATTATGATAAATCTCTAAAAATTTATGAGTGGTTTAGAAGAAGATAAAATGCTCCAGGTTTCCATGGATGGTAAATTTTAACTCAGTCAGTTAATATCAGTTGGATCATGCGGTCTTCACACAATGTTCAATTTTATTCAACTGTTCATTCAAGAATGGTACAAATGCTTCAGGATGGATAATGAACATACTACTGTCTTCTTTGTATAAGATATTCCATGAGACCCCTTCCTGTTGTGCTGATTTCGAAAATCTTACTCAAGCTCAGTCTTCAGACTATGCTCTACAGTTTTGTAGCCATCGTTGGATTGAAAACGAGAAAGTAGCAAAATACCAGTTATGAATACCTTTTTTCATGCTATAAAGATGTGTTAGTCCCTGTAAAGTTGCAATTTTTTAAGGAAACTGCAAAATTGTTAAATTCTTTCTTGTTAGTTTTCCAAACCGACAATCCTTTTTTTGAGGAAACACTTGAGAATTTACTCAGAATTTTATCAGAAAAGAAGTTTTGTCTGAAGCATCCACAACTTTTAAATTATTAAAAGTTGATATCATTAATGTCAAAAATTAAGTGTTGGTCACAAATATTGATCTTGGGTTTGGAATAAAATTTGAGTTGCAGCAACTGAAATCTAGAAAAAAAGTTACTGATGCACAAATCTATAATTTTAAAACAGAAGTTCAACAGCTTTTAGTTACAATGTACAAACATGGTTGAAAAAAGTGCGCTAAAATCATATTTTGCTAGATACTTATTATGTTTATCACCTTTGTACATGGTGGAATCTCATGAGATGTATGAACCTTATTTTGACAAGTTGTTGCTAAAATTAGTTGCTTATAAAAAGGTATCACCTTCAGCTACTGATCAAGCCAAATTACAGTATTCACAATTTTTAACTACTGTTGTGAAAGTGAACAAGGAGAAATTTCTTGGGTTCAAAAAAGAATGTGGTAGATTTTTTGGTTTTTTTCTTTTTTGGTTCAATATACAGATGCTTCAAGATTCAAGGACTTAATAAAAGTTTATCAATTGTTACTAATATTGGCTCATGGCCAAGTGCAAGTAGAGCGTGGATTTAGTATAAATGACTAACTTCTGGATAGTAATATGCTAACTGATACTCTTGTTGCACAGAGAATTGTTCATGACCACATGTGCAGTAAAAAAATAAAATTACCTCAATTGGCTATGATAATTAAACTTATAGGATGTGTCAAGGATGCACGAAAACCATACTTTAGCAGTCAGAAAGCAAAGTCCATAAAATCCATAAAAAATTGACCATGATACTAAACTGAAATATTTTAATAATGAGATTATTAGTTATAATGAACAAATTCACACTCTTGAAGGTACCATATTTCAACTCAGACATGATGCAGATGAATATGCATTTCAAGCTCAAAAGCAGAAATCATTGATAAAAATTAATTCAACAAATCTAAAATATTATGCGCTGTAAAGAATTTTCTCTCAAAATCAGAACTTTTTTTTTATTTTATTTTTTTTATTTTAATTCACCTTTTCAAGACCGAGAAGGCCACTACAGACGAGGAGGCTACTTATTTGTGGCTATAACCCTCTCTCAACTATAACTCCAAAACACGAACCTTGAGGAACAAGGCCGCTGCGCGGAGAAACGAGTTGAGCACGGTACTACCAGGGACTTGGTGGGGATCAAACTCGGAACCACTCGTTTATGAAGCAAGCGCTCTACCACGACACCACTACCACATTAGAAAAAAAACTTACTAGAAAAAATTACAGCAGCAAAAAAAAGTACTTATTGACAAGAAAGCTGAGGTTTAGATTTGGATGTTTAAGTTTTTCATCCTTTTTTTTTCTGATTTGATTATTTATTTTTATTGCTGGTTTTTATCACTATATAAAATATAAAGTTTAGTTATTGAAATTGGCTGTGTATTTTAATGATTTTTGATTATTTGTTTGTTACTTAGTCATAAAGTCATCTATTTAGTGCAATGTTAAATTTGATAAATTTATAATGCAAGTATGAAATTGATTTGTTTCAAGTTAATATTTTTGTATGTGCAGAGATGTTAGATTATTTTATAATTATTTAACAGTGTTTAGGCCCTAATTTTATCTTATTTATCTTAGCTAGGCATTCTTACAGTTTTTAAATAAAATGAAAATACTTTACTTTATTTTTGAATTTTCGCCTAAAATCTCCCAAGATTTTTATTCTTTTTTTTTTTTCTTCAAATTTCTCTGTAAAATCTCCTTAAAAACCTTAAAAAATCTCCTAATTTATCCTAATTTTTATTCTTTTTTTTTTTCAAATTTCTCTGTAAATCTCCTTAAAAACCTTAAAAAATCTCCTAAATTATCCTAATTTTTTTCAAACAAAAAAAGTGTGGCCACCCTACTAAACATAAATAATTTAATTATTAGGCAAATATTTTTAAAATTTAATAACACGGTCATATTTTAAGTTCATCATAAAAATCATTGCACAGTAGTTTTAGTCAATTGCAGTCAGTTAAAGATTTAAGCTTTACGTCTTTTTTTCTTTCCAAATTTTAAATAATTTGTATTTGTATATATGTATATTATACACTTACAATATAAATGTCTCAAAAAATTATCAGACCAAACAATTTTTTTCAAAAAATAAATGTTTACCCTCTAATTTGTATTAAAAACAATGAATAACGGTAATTTATCTTTCACTTTAACTCTAGTGGGAACAGGATGTTATTTAGCATGCATATTTTTTATTCATGCTTCAGTTGGTTTATTATTTGTCCTAAAAGAAACTTAGTAATAAATGTTTTGTAAAAAAATTATCAGACCAAGTGATATTTAGGTAAGTTTAACTAATTTTATGTGAAATTTATTGAAATTTTTTGCAAATTTTTATACAATTAATGAAATTGCATAACAAAAAACTTGAATTATGTTTTATTTAGTAAAATGGTTGGAGGTAAATATCACTGACCAGTTGCTCAGAGAAATTTAGCTGTCAATCTAGTCAATCAGGGTAAAACTTATTGTCAGTTATACAGTATACAACATAATGAAGAAGTATAATTTGATCGAAACAGCAGCCATAATAGGTGGGCTTTGCAAAAGGGTTGTAAAATGAAGAGTTTTGATAGAAGCTAAGTCAAGAAAAATTGCTTTATTTCTGCTCGAAAACTGGCTGAGCAAACTGAAGAGGAATAAAATTATCCCATCAGACAATCAGATGTTATATCTAAGTTCAAGAGCGACTTCCGCGTAATAAACCATATTTGAGTAAGAAACATATCAAAAGAAGATTAGAGTTTGTTAAGAAGTTCAAAAACATGCTGTTAAGTTTCTGGAAAAAGATTCTGTTGAGCAGCAAACCCAAATTCAACCTAAAATCATCTGATGGAGCCCAAAAAGGTTAGAGAAAAGCCAGAGAAGCCTAAAATTTAAGGTCTGAGAGGAACTGTCAAGCATAGTGGTAGTAACTTGTTGGTTTGTGCTTTAATGGCTTGGAAGGGTGTTGGAAAACTCCAATTTATGGATAATACAATGTATCAGATGCAATGTAGAAATGTATCAAAGCAAACTTTGAAGTCATCTGCTCAAAAACTTAGGCTAGGATCTGATTTTAAATTTCAGCAACATAATGATCCCAAGCATACTGCCATTAAAACTAAGGAATGGTTTGCTGAAAATAATCTTGAAATCTTAGAATAACCCGCACAATCATCAAACCTTAATCTCATTGAACATTTGTGGAAAATTGTGGACCAAATATTAGAGATCAGTCATTTTTCGAAAAAGAACCTCAAAGTGGGAATTAAAGAAGCCTGGAAAAAGACTTGCCCAGAAGAAACAAAATCTTTAGTCAAATCAATGCCTAGACGTCTAGAAGCTGTAATCCAAGCAAAAGGAGGTTCTAAAAAGTAATAAAATATTTGTTTTGTTACTTAATAAATTATTATTATACAAAAAATGTGTTTGGTCAAATATTTTAATCTAAGACTGAAAATTTTGTCTAACGTTACAAAAATATACTTTTTTTAAGATAAACATTTTAAAAAATTTAGTCTGATAATTTTTTGAGAGGCTGTGAGTGTGTGTGTGTTTTTATAAATATATATATATATATATATATATATATATATATATATATATATATATATATATATATATATATATATATATATATATATATATATATATATATATATAATTGTTGTTGTTATTATTAAAATAACTATAGATATGATTTGCGCTGCAAAATTTTCTGAGGACGGAAACTGGTATAGAGCTCTAGTAAAACGTAAGTTGTTAACTTCAAACTTATTTCATACTTAATGATAGTAAACTTAAGTGTTTTCCTTGTTTATTTATAGAAGTTAATAACAATGATTCAGTAGATGTTGAGTATGTCGATTATGGGAACTGTGAAACTGTTTCCATTACATCAATTAAAAAAATACCAGAAATGTATCTTTTGCTTCCAAAACAAGTAATGTTTTATAGTAGTAAATAGCATTCTTTGTTCTATTTTATTATTTAAAATTTATTTTTTTAATGTATATAATTTTCATTATATACATTGTTATATACAGTAAACTCTCATTCATTTGAACCTCCTATGGGGAATTAGAATTAACATAGAATAACTGAAAGTTTAAATAACTGAAAATATTCTTTAAAGTGACCTATTTCAAGTTACTATCAAATTTTAACAAAGTAGAGGGTAAAAAAGAAGAAAAACTTTGAAATAAGATGTCAAAGTCTTTACCTTCTAAAAAACAAATTTAAAATAAAAAAATAAAATCTTTACCATTTTTCAAAAAAGTTTATCAACGGAATCATGCTTTCCAAAACTTAACTTTTGTCTCTAAGCTCCAAATCGGCTGACTTCTAATAATTATGTCTTCTTAATGCTTAATCCAGTTAGTTGAAGTGTTTTGAGAAACACTAAACTTTTCCGCTATGTTCTTTTTAGTTTGACCTTTTTTTAATCTTTAAAAAATATTTATCTTTGATTAATAATTTGACATTTTTGCTCAGTTTTTACTATATAATTTGTGAGTAATTGTATAATAAAGAGAGTTTGTTAAATAAGGGTGGTTGATAGCATGGTACTGTCTTCTTTTGCATAGATGCCATGTTAAAATTTTCCTTGTGTTACGTCTAATGTGTTAAATTTTTTTATATTTTGGTATCATATTTTTTTACATATGTACATACATATATTTTAGTTACATTAGATTAAGATATATATCGAAATGCAATGGTATCTTGAGCCAAAAGAAAACTTTGAATAAGTGACGGGGTGTTTGACAAGGGGAGCAAAAAATTACTTTGAATAAATGAAAATTCGAATAACTGCTGGTTTGAATAACTGATGGGTATTTGCATGAGTTTGTTAAGGAAAATTCATGGAAAAGTGAAAATTGCTTTGAATAAGTGTGAAATTCCATTAAGTGCTAGTTCAAACAACCAGGGGTTTACTGTATTACTATATTTTATAGTTATTAAATGTTTTGTTATGTCAACATATTTTATCAAGTTCATCTATGTTTCATAATCAACATAAATTTTGTTTTTGTGTATAATAAAGTAAAAAATAGAACAGCAGGATTCAGTTTTTAATGTTTCATTTTTGCTAGGCTCTCAGAGTAAAACTTTGGAATTTTGAAAAGAAAAATCAAGAAGATTGGTCACCAGAAGTAAATTGAAGTTGAATTTGTTATAAAGTTCAAAAACTATTTGCAATTACTTGAATTTGTTATAAAGTTCAAAAGTTTTTTATTTTTAGACAAAGAAAAGTTTTGAAAAATATCTTCTTAATAAGCAACTTGTTGCTGTTGTACAAGGTTACCTAGTTACCTAGTGGATATTAAAACTGTTTGAAAATATTTTTTACAGATTTAATAAAACAAATAAAGTAATTTTGTAAGGGAGAAAAATTGATTAAGAAAGTTACTTCAGACTAAATAATGAGATTGATGTTTCTAGATGTCGTTGATAACACAATATCTGTTGAACTATTTGATACATCTACAGATAAAGATATCAGCATCAATGCTTTATTTTTTGATAAAGCAAACACTGATAAAAAGTATTTTTTTTTTTGTCTATTTTTTTTTTTTTTTTAAGTTTATTTTTCATTTTTGATAATACTTTCAAATTCTTTATTTTTATTTTGTGTCTAATTTGTTATGCTTTTTTAAGGGGAATTTTACTCGAAAATAATACAGCGCAAGCAATAAAATCTTACAAGCTGCCAATTTTTCCTGCGAAACATAAGTTCAATGCAATCTGTGTTCATATTGATCCACACTGCTTGTTTTATCTTCAACCAGAAGGTTGTTTATTTTTTAAATTGTTTTTTTTATTATTATTGTTATCATTTTATTTAGTAAAAATTGAAATAAGTTTATTTTAGTGGCTGATTTAAAAAAAACAAAATTTTATTTTGCAGGTTGTAACAATGTTGTAATTCAGTTTATGGAAGAACTGAACTCAGCTCAATTTAAATTTGAAAGTTGTCCTAGCACTACTCTACTTAGCATTAACCAAGCTTGTGTGGCGAGATTTTCAGAAGATAATTGTATTTACAGATCAAAAGTCCTTCAAATTGTTGATGATTCTAAAGTAAAGGTACATTTTTATGTAATTATCAAATTAGGATACATTTTTTTGTCATTGTCAAGTTAAGGTACATTTTGTACATTTTGTCAAGTTAAGGTACATTTTGTGATTGTAAAGTGAAGGTTTTTTTAATTTTCATTAGAGAAAAATTGTAGGCTAATTTTAAATTTTCATTTTTGAGTTTTTATTTTTATACAGAGCTTTTTATAAAAATGAACAGTTTTATAAAAAGCTTCATATCTTTCATACTATATATCATATCATTATATACCTATATTATATCGAATCTATAATTTTTTTTATAAATAAACTTTAACACAAGATAAATCGAATAATAAAAAATACAATTTGAAAATCAATTTACAATTGTGTTAGCTTCTAACTTGGCAAAATTAAATTAATAAAAAAAGAGAAAAAAACAAACTTAGTTTTGCAAATAAAATGAAAATTGCATAGCACTATTTTGCACAAAATTTGACACTTATTAATATTATGCAAAAAAATTGTAATCTTGTTATTATTTCTGAAACTAAACTCAAAATAAGACAGAAACAAACAAAACGAAAAAAACAGAATACCTAATTCAGGATACAGGTAGTTATCATTTATTCACATATAATCTTGTGTATGTAAATGTGTTAACTAATTTGATTCCAGATACATGTAATTATTATTTATTTACCCATAATCTAAGTATAAAAGAGTTAATTTATTTATTGTATTAAGAAATAAATGCAGCTAATTCAAAACAAAATATAGAGAAAGAAACTCGAATGCAGTTTTTTTTTCAAACATCTTCAGATCACACAAGACTGCAAACAACCACTATAAGAGTAGGAAGTTACTGGAAGAGAAAAAATGAAGTTTATAAAGCAAGATAATCATTAACAGACAACTTAAAAGGTGGTAAATTATATGAATCAGAAAAACAAGATAAAGGCAGCAATTTCTAAATACTAATGTTCAAGGAAAAAAACTAGTGCAAAAAGAGTTTTTGGAATGCTTAGGAACAGTCACAGAAAAAGGACGAGACTTAATTGAATGCACCTTGTCTAAAAGAGAAAAAGCATCATTTGAAGATCCGCTTTGTATATGGCAACAGTATTCCATACAAGTATGGATTTAAGATTTATAGAGATAGAGAAAATATATTACTGTTCATAAATACAAAAAGATCTAGGTTGTTATGATATTGATTAGCTGAAATTTTTTTTTTTTTTTTTTGCTTTTATCTGAGTTAAAGCTCACCAGCCACTGAGAGCCACATGCTGAGGAACCCCTGAATTTACAGGAAATCAAAAAAAGTGTTGTCCATCAAGGACAACTTTTGAATACGATTGGTAAGAAAAGATTTGGTAAGCTTAAAGATGTTACCTGATACTTGCCAAACTTTATCAAAAGCTTCAGAAATGTTAAGAGCAAGAGTCTTAACCTCTCCACATCTATCTAATGCAATATAAAACCTATCCGTTATTCCCGTTGACAAATCAGCAGTAGAATGAGTAGATCAAAATCCATAATAATGATTAGAAAGTAAGTATTAGATTCAAGATGAGAGATTAAGTGTTTGTTAATTAAAGACTTAAAAACTTTACAAATGCAAGAAGACAAATGGAACAATAGTTTGATGAGTCAGGTTGCTCTCCAGAATTTTTGAAAATAGGGATAACAGATGCCATTTTCCAGCAGGCTGGTAAATAAGACTCTGATAAGCAATTGTTAAATAGTTTTGAAAGTATAGGCGACGGCTACAGAAAACACCTATGCAAGACTATAATGGGTATGTTGTTCAGACCACAACCTGTAGAAGAGTCTAAGCAGGAAATCACTTTAGATACAGAAGCTGGAGTGATATAAATGTCAAGCAATCAATCAACCTGTTTGTCGGCTATATCAGGTAGGATGTGATTAGTGGAATCATAAGATAAGATTAATGAAAAGTTCTTAGCAATTAATTCAGTATTGTCATTAGGTGAGGCAACAAAGGTTACCTTTTCAAGCTATTAATGACAAAAAATAGTTAATCAAGCCATTACTGATAAAATAATGTCTTATGAAAAAGCTTCTAAATGTTTTAATGTGTTAAAATCAACTATTCATGACTGAGCAAAAGACAAATACAAATCTACTGGAACTTGTGCGCCAAGAAATATGAATCAAACTGTCCAGGTAATTTTTGTCGATCTTTTAAAGTTTATGAGCCATATTGGTTTTAGTTTAAAAAGAAGTTACGTTTTTATTGCTGTTGAAGTATGAATGAATCAGAACAAATAAGGGAACCAACTAAACAATGGTACAGAGGATTCATGAAAATATTTAAAATTAGAGCAAAAAAAGCTAATGACATGCAAGTTATTAGAGCATTAGTAGTATTTATTATTCAAGCTATTAGCAGTAGTGGCTTCCACTTGATTGATGAAAGATTTCTACTGAAAAATCTGCAATTGGCAAAGTTTTTAAAACTGTTAAAGATGAGAACATTAATAGTTTATTTTAACCTGTAACCAATACACCTAAAACTCTTAAAAAACCATTATGTGGAATGTCAAGGCGAGAAGTGTTACTTAAAAGTTTGAATATGATAAATGAAAGAGTTAAAGAAGCAGGAAAAGATATCAACCAATTGGTTTTAATGTTGCTCAAAGATCAACTTACACCTTAAGATAATAGAAAAGAGAAAGGTAAAAGAACTTAATTGCCAGCCAAATGTAATATGACCTCAGCCGATGCTATAGTTTTTGACAAAGCTGAACAAGAATCGAAAAAACAAATTCTAAACAAAAACAAGGTACCAAAAAAAGTATATAGAGAGCCAAAAAAAAATGCGCCTCAAAAAGAGGAAAAAGCAGATGCATGGAATGCAAATGAAATATTTTTTGCCATAACTTTATTTAAATTAATACCATTTATGTATAATATTTATAACAGTTTCGTTAATTAATTTAATGACATGTTTTTTCTATTTTGTATATATCCGGAAATAGGTTCGCAGCACCCTAATTTCAGATAAAAATAAGTTTTAAAAACTTAAATTTTTTGAACCTAAATTTAAAATTAAAATTTTTTTGTTTGGTTTGTTTTGTTGTTACACGTTTTAGTGTTTTGATTTTTTCGAAATTCATTATAATAAGTGAATTAATTTTTTTTTTTTTTAAGTCCGTTATTAGGTGTTTTTATGGAAATTAAAAATAAAAACAGCATTACGAATATTTTTTAAAATTTTAAACATAAATCTTTTATTTAATTTGAAATAATTAAAACCAAAACAGAATAAAGAATATTTTATTTCTAATTAAAATAATTAAAAACAACAAAACAAACATATTGTTTAAACTCAAGTTAATTAAAAAACACAACAGAAAAATAAATGTTTTATTTAAATTAGAATTTAAATAAAATAATTAAAATAAGAGAAACGATTAAAAAAAAAAAAAAAATAGTTAAAATAAAAATGACAAACATTTTAAGTAAACTTTAAATTAAAAAATACCCAAAAAAAAAGAGGAAAAAAAACATTTTTAAAAAATTCTGAATACAAATCTTTTATTGAAACTGGTAACTAAACCATTTTAATAATAACATAAAAATGAACATTATATTAAGTAAAGTAATTTATGTGGTGTAGTGGTAGAGTGCTTGCCTCATAAGCATGTAGTTCCGAGTCAATCCCCACCACATCCCAGGTAGTACCTCGCTCAACTTTTTTTTTGCACTGGGGTTTTATTCCTCAAGGTTTGTGTTTCAGATTTATAGAGTATAAATAGTTTGAGAGAATGTTATAACCACAATTTGTAGTGGTCTCCTTGGGCTTAAGGAGTTAAATTAATATTAAAAAAAAAGAAATTAAATTTACTAAACAATTTAAAATTTACTAAGTTAAATAATTAAAATAATATTGGCAAAACTTTTGTTCATTTTTTTATAAATTTTTAAGCAAAAGTTGATGTTTGAAACAAGTATCAGCAAAATCATCATTTGTTTTTCTGTCAATTTTATGCTAAACTTTCGCATGTTAGTTGATTAGTAGAAAACTTTGTGCCGATCTAAAACGGTTTTAGGTTTTAGTATACATACCGTAAAATTGCCTAAGATTGGTCACCATGTAACTTCGGTCATTTAAGAAAAAGTATATAAAAAGCATGCAAAAATCAAATTTTACAAACTTTTTTTTAACTAATATTTGTAATTAGTTCATAAATATGTATCTATAAAAATATAATAATGTTGTAACCTGCTGAAATAATTCTTTAGCAAAACAACAATTTGAAAAAATGCATACTATTAAAAAGTAAGCAAATTATTAAAATAAATGATCCAATTTGATCTTAGTATTATTAAGAATCACTAAATTAATTATATTTACAAAAAAAAATTATTAGTTTTTGAAAATTAACTACTTTTTTTATAAAAATTAGTGAAATTTTGAAGTACTCTAACCTTAGTCATTCACAGAATAAACAACAAAGGAGACAATTAGCAGTAATATTGCAAGATGTTGATAAGTGTCGCGAATGTAAAATTTACCAGTAACTTTACCTGTAAAATTACCAGTAAATTTTGACATTTTTGTAATAAATAAACACCAAGGTATTTTATTTGAATAAAAAATTTGTTCATAATTTCAAAATTAACTGATGGTTTTTTGAGTTATAAAAAATATCAAGCTTGTGAAATTTTTTTTTGGAGATAAAATTGCAGCTTAACAACAATTATGGATGTATTGCTAATAATTAAGTTTGTGATACATTATCAGTATTCATATAGCTGCTGAACTTATGAGATGGTATTGAAAGTTCGGTCAAAGTTAACATTTTCATTTTAAATTAAATATTGAGTACTAGTTTTTATTTTTCATTTTTTTATTTTTACAATATCGGATTAATATAATTTTCTGTATGTTTCATTAAAAAAAATTGAAAATTTTATATTTATGCGTGATAAATTAATGTTCAAAGCTTAAGTGACCAAACTTAGTCGATTTTATGGTATATGAATATTTAATATATTTTAATGGGTATTCAATAATGGGATTTGTGATAGCTTGTATTTCTAAAAGCATTATGCAGCATGTATCTCCAAATGGTATGATGAAGATTAGGATGTATTTATATTGTTTAATGCAATTGACAATGTAATTTATTTCTATTGTAAATGTGATAAGGGGTGTGATGTGATTGTAAATACAATGAACAATGCACTTTTTAATGTAATGAATGATGTAGTTTGTCTGGGATGTGTTTTGTTGTCATCATCATAAGTAATTTTTTTTTAAGGTCGAGTATGTTGACTTTGGGAATTCAGAAATCATTGACAAAAGTCAAGTGTGTTTAAAATCTTGGTATGACGAAATACCAATTCAATGTTTGTCTATTCAGTTAGCAGATGTGATTCCTGTAAGTATTTAATTTAAACAGTTATTAATATTGTTTTAATTCTATATTTTTATATTCACGTATATACTATTCAATATTTTTATTTTTGTTGGTTTTTTTATTACTTCTATATTGCTAGAATTTTATTTAAAATTGTTTAGGTAAATAAAGTTTGGTCACAAGAAGCTATTAAGTTCTTGTCAAGAAAGGTTTCTAATAAGATTGTAGAGGTTGGTTTACAGGTAAACACTAATTATTAATCTTATTTATTTTGTAAATCTTTTTTATAAGTTCGGTATTGTTTATATAATATGTTTTTATATAAGACAAGCAAATCTTTAGTTCAAGCTGATGCTTTAAATTCTGTCCTTGTAACATTTTTTTTTTTATTTCTTGTGACATGAATTTAGCCAACATTCTATGTGGACTTTAGTTTTATGCAATCTTGACTCAAGAAATCTATTAAGTTTGGAATCCCCTTAAACAATTGGCTCTCTCTTTGAATTTTTTAAGCTTTAATAGCTCCTAGAAGCATTGTTAAACATGTCAAAATGTTAGGAAACCTGTTCCATAAGACTAATGTTTATGGACTATCTAATACACTCATTTTAGAACTCATCCCACCCATGAAGTCGTGTTCTTTGTGTTGTGAGTCAACTGTTCAGAACAATAAAATGTCAAAAGCACGGCAGTTGCAAACATTTAAAGAATTTAAGGCAGTGGTAACCTCTTTTATGGAATAATGCTGGAGAAGAAATTTACAGAAAGAATTTGAAATTCAGGAACTTCTATTTGGCATTGACAAATTGTCACATCACTCCAAAGAACCATGCTGTTTTTTACCACATCAAACATTTCATTGCTCCAAAAAAACCTTCACTGGGTCTCTACAGTAAACAGGCTGCTGAAGCAGTTTATCATCTCTTCAGTACTCACAGGCAAATATTCAAAGGAGGGATTGGTTAAAGGAGATATTGTATTAAAAAGGTTACAATTAGAAAACAAAACTGTTCTGTTTGTAACACCTTTTCAATTTACTTTAACCTGTGACTATTCCTATCTTTGCAATATTTTGTATTAATTTTTAAAGAATTAAACTTATTGTGGCTTAAAAGTAAAGGGTTTTCCAAAAACAGTTTATTTATTAACTATTTTTAATTTTATAACTAATCTTTAACATTAGATGCATAAATATAACATAAATATAAGATGCATAAATATAAACATAAATATCATCATTGCTTAGGCAAAGAACAAATGCTGTTAAGTAGAAGTATTTATGGTTTAAATTGAAGAAAGGATTAAGATAGTGATGAAGTGTCTTGTTGAATTTTTTTATTGTGCAAGCTATTATTTCACATTTTGGCCTTTATATTCTCAAATCATGGAATTTTTGTGAAGCTTCTTGAAGTTATGTTGAAAAGCAAATAAAAACATGGATGTCATCTTCAAGACTTATCTTTCTCATCCTAAACCCTATTTATTTTCTTCAAATAATTTCATCTATTTTTTATAACTTTTTGAAAATTAATTTAATAGGTTATTAATACATGGTTGTATGTGGATTGTTTAATTAGTCTAAAAATATTATAAAACATTTTTATTCTAGTTTATACATATGTTTTTAAAAATTTTAATTTCTTAAAGGAGCATGGCATCAATAATACTTTAATACCATCTGCAACTGTCAAAATTCAAAATGAAAATATTAGTTATGTACTTGTTGCTGCTGGTTACGCTAAATCTACTACCAATTTAAGTTCCTTGAATGACAAAAAGTATGGTAATTCTTTCTTAAATAAAAGGTTATTTATGTATATGTGTTAGTACGCATATATATATATATATATATATATATATATATATATATATATATATATATATATATATATATATATATATATATATATATATATATATATATATATATATATATATATATATATATTAATAATAATATTTTTAAAAATATAAATATATATTTTCATTTATAAAAGATATAATAATAAAAATAAGTCAATTGTTTCATTTTTGGATCTCAGTGTGTATGGCTATTTTTTTTTGTTTGCAAAGATTCCAAAGGACTCATTCTTGGAATGAGTCTTAGGCCAACTATGAGACTTATGCTTGGCCTGGCTACTTATCAGTTCATCCATTTGTTGTTGTGGAATTATGTTTAATTTCTTTGTCTATTCTTTTTAGTGCATTTGTTTAGCTCTACTTCGTTTGATTGTCTTTCTTGTTTTTCTTTACTATTCTATTCTTCCAAAGACTTTTTGAGGTGTTTCTTTTTGCTCTTTTGGACTCTTTGGAGTTAATTCTGATCAAATTGACAAAGCTTTTTCTATTTATTTTTATTTATACATCTGCTAATATTGTGGTAATATTTGCGAATTTCATGCTCATCACACTAAAAAACTCTGCACTATTACCACTGACCATGATATCACTAAAGATCAAAATTTTGGATTTTTTTATCTCTAACCCAGATTAACTTTGTGCCTTATTTTTCAACTCAAGTCACTAAACTTTGCACTTTGATACCTATCTTGTCTCTGATCTTAACATTTGCTCAGTTTTTCTTTTTTCTTTATAAGATGTCTTAAATCATGCTTTGATCACACTTTTAAATCATACTTTTTCAACATCAGATTCATCCTATCATACTTCACTCTATCATTGCACTACTTCACTCTATCATTGCACTACTTCACTCTATCATTGCACTACTTCACTCTATCATTGCACTACTTCACTCTATCATTGCACTACTTCACTATATCATTGCACTACTTCACTATATCATTGCACTACTTCACTATATCATTGCACTACTTCACTATATCATTGCACTACTTCACTCTATCATTGCACTACTTCACTCTATCATTGCACTACTTCACTCTATCATTGCACTACTTCACTCTATCATTGCACTACTTCATTCTATCATTGCACTACTTCACTCTATCATTGCACTACTTCACTCTATCATTGCACTACTTCACTCTATCATTGCACTACTTTACTCTATCATTACACTACTTCACTTTTACATAGCACTATTTGCTGTTTTAAGGTTGGATTCCTTTTGTAGCTTTTTCTTTTCTTTTTTGTGATGACTCTATGGCTGTCTTTCATTTCCTTTTTGAAATTTGTGTCTCCTGTATAATTTCTAGGATTTATATATAATGAAAGCTTTTCTGCTGCTGATTAATTATCATAACAGAAAACTATGCAATTGAATTAATGAGATAATTGCTCTTGACATATCATATGCTTTTGATAAAGTCTGGCATCTTTGTTTTTTCCATAAGGCCTCTTCATATGGTGTATCTAAAAGTGTTTATAAATTATCGACTCATTTCTTTCCAACTGCAGTATTAAAGTCTTTCTTAATGGACAACATACTACTTCATTTCCAGTAACTTCTGGTACTACAAGGTTTCATCATTGGCCTTGCATTGCTTTTCTGCTATATTAATAATCTCCCTGATAATCTTATTTCTAAGGTGACTTTATTTGCTGATGACACAACAATGCAAAACGTGATAAAAAGTCATTTACTTTTTAATCATTTATAATAATCTTAAATGTGAATTTAAATTTTTCTTTAAATTTAATGATAAAAATTATAGTGCTTTAATATGAAGTGAAATGAGCTTAACACAACTATCATACTAACTATGAAACACAACTATCATACTAACTATGATAGTTGTGTTAAGTTTAACATTTACTCCAAAATTAAATTTGACTAAATCTAAGATTTACAAAAAAAAAAAATAATAATTACACCTTAAAACAACTTTAAAATTACTGGTGATATAACTTTAAAATTACTGGTGATGTAGCAAATCATGGATTTTGATGTCAATTTTTTCTACCAATATTTTTTACCAATTTTGAGATTAAAGAGTAAGATAATTATTATAAAGAATTTTTGCAAACTAAAAATAACATACTAAAATGTATTGTTAAATAAATAAATAAAATTTTGCAGAGCAAAATTGTATAAAGTAGTGTCAACCAGTCTTTTTTAATGCTGCTTTTAACTTTGAGCGAGAAACATATATTGCAAAAGAATTTTAAAATCATGATTGACACTTTTATCAGTTAAAAACGCTGAAATTTAATGTTAAATATATAAAACATTTTACAGTGTAAAAAGTTTGTTAAAATGTGGCACTATTATGTTGCTAAAGATATTTTTACAATAAATGTTATTAGTGTTTTTTTTTTGTGTGATCCTCCTCCAATACCTGATGATGGACTATTTAAAAATGCCATTTCTAAATAGTTCATCATCAGGTATTGAAGGATAGTAAATATAAAAAAAGCTTTTTAGTTAGGATCTAACATCATTATACTTTGTTTATGTTTGATTTAATTTTAAAATTTTAAATGAAATCACCTCTATTGTTCACCTCTAATTCTTCTAGACTTCCAATGACTAACTTGAGTTCAAGATTTCATTTCATATCTTCAAAAAACAAATTATAATATAAACAAATCAAATATTGTTTATATTAATGAATTAAATTTTTTTATAATATATTGTTTATATTAATGAATTAAATTTTTTATTAATAAAAGTAAATATTTTTATAATATTAATAAATCAAATATTATTTATATTAATGAGTTAAATTTTTTTTCTAGAAATGCTCAAGCTCAAGTTGTGTTTTCCGATGCAAAAAAAGTATCAAAAATAATGGAATATAAGAAACCGAGATTTCCTAATATTGGAAAACGTTTTGATGTAATTGTTACACAAGTCGATAGTCCAAACCTTGTGTATATTCAAAGATATCCTCCAAGTGATGATTGTCCTTTGTTTGTGGATGACAGTGAAGATGTTAGTGCTGCAGATGCTTATAATCAAATTCAAGAACTATATTTAATGAGCGAAATGATTAACCAGGAAAACTATTTTGATAATTTATTATACATTAAAACACCACATATTGGTAATTCAAACTTTTTTGAATGAATTTTTCTCAAATCTTTTTGAAAGACTTTTCATTGACTTTTCATTCAGCTATATTATTATCTCGCACATTTTTTTATTTTTAGGAATGCCTTGTATTGCTCGCTACACTGAAGATGGACTTTATTACAGGGCAAGAATTGATAACATTGACATGGATACAATGAAGGCTGAAATTATTTTTGTGGATTATGGGACATCTGAGACCTTGCCGATTGGCAGGTGAATATTAATAAAGACATCTATCATATGTCATTATTACAGGGTTTATAATCTGACCTTTAATATCTTTATTTTTAGTCTAAAACCTATTACAGAAGAATTACTACAGCTTCCACTTCAATCAACATTAGTTACAATATGTGGTATTAAAAAACTGTCAAATAAAAACACCGACGAAAAGTGGGATATTAATACTACTAAGCAGTTTTATAACATTGTAGCTAACAAAAGACTTATTGCACAGTGGGTGGTAGGCTGAATTAAAATTATATTTCTAGTAGTATATTTTGTAAAAAATTAAATATCTAAATGAATATGCATATAAATATATATATATATATATATATATATATATATATATATATATATATATATATATATATATATATATATATATATATATTTAAGCAATTTTAAAATTTATTCTACAAAATAGAGTGCTCAATGTTCTTAAAAGAACAGAGCAATTATAAATTAGTAGAAAATAACTCTACAAAAATTTTTTCTCATTTTACACTGTGTTTATCAATAAAGACTCAGAAATGAATGAAATTTCATCATGAAATTTCTGATGATTCTTTATTGATGAAATACAATAATATAAGAAAATATTTTTGTTGAGTGATTTTCTACTAATTTATATAAAAACAAAAAATTTCATAATTCTTTCAGGGTAGAGTGGAAAACTTGTCTCTACACATAGGTAACTTCTGTGCAATATTTCGTTACTCTAGTAATGTCTTCTGTTCTGGAAAGGGACATGAAATTTCAAAAATTTATTAAAATATCTAAATATTTATATACTTTTTTAAATATTTTTTAAACGTCATAGCACTTTGTGGTAGTGTGCAAAAAATGCATCTATGTATGATTAATTACTGTGCAAAATTTCATGCCCCCACGAACAATATTTTCTGTTCTGGCAAAGAGCCTGAAATTACCCACAAAATTCATTGTTTTATTATACTTTTTTATTAAGTCAATTTTTTAAATGTGATTTTAAAACCAAGTAAATATTTTGGAATAAGTGCAGAAGCTTCTATTCTTTTTTCGATTTCTTTTGTTCTAATATTGTTAGTCTTTTGAGACTAACAATAACTTTTTGTATTATACGCAAGTATACAGTTAACATTTATAAAATTAAAGTTAAAAAATTAATTTGTATTTTTTATGATCCTTGCACAAGTCGAAGTTGCTATTTTGTATTGAAATTTTCTTGACTTATATGCGAGCATATATACAGTAATAAATATTATTTTAGCATATTATTTTCCAGATTATCATTATTAATTAATTAACCAATATTTATTTATAACTAATAAATTATTATAAGTTGCTGCTTCAGGTTGTAAGTAAAAAAAAAAAAAGATGTGAGAAACAAAAATCTTCAAAATTTTTAAAGGGAAGAACATTAAACTGCCCAATTTTCAGATCACCAACAGATTTTGCTTTCAACAAAAGATGTTATTGAATGTTTAATTTATGAAAGTTGGCGTCTTGGATCTGAAACAGCTGGTAATAAGGAGCCCACATTTTCTTCCATATCACATTTTGTTTGTGAAAATGCTGCAACTGCTGTATTTTGATGCTTCCATTTCGACAGTTTCAAAAAAACGTGTTATTGGTATAATTGATGCTTATCACAAATCTTATATTGATATAAAGTCTGCTTATAAAAGAATAGAGAATGACAACTAATGCACGAGTTGAGAAGTTTAAAGAAGAATCACGTTGTTTTTTTTGATATAGCAGCTTCATCATTATCAAACTTCTGTAAAGATTACAAGACAATGGATGAGGATGAGGAACCTAAACCTGATGACTATGATTATAATCCCAGACTGCCGGCTTCATTCTTTTCGCAAATGCGTATGAAACTTACTAACACTGCCTTAATAACTCAAGCTGCAGCTGCCATAGCTACTAGCATTATACACAACGTAGGCCTAGTCAGTAAATTGAATACATCTTAAGTGATTGATAAGAATATAATTGCTAGAGAGGTACCAAACTATGGAAGAAATTAAAAGTGAAAATTCAAGCACTGATAAGGATCATTTAGTAGGTCTTTACTTTGATGGCCGACGTGATAAAACATTGTCAACAGAAAAAGAGAAGGATAAATACTACCAAAGAGAAATTATAGAGGAGCACTATTCCTTGGTGAAAGAACCAGGATCTAGCTACGTTGGCCATGTTACACCAGCTTTAGGAACAGTCTAGCCATTGCTGAAAGTATTTACAACTATATCACAGCAGAAGTGAGCGAAGGTTTAAATAATGTTCTTGTTATAGTGTGTAATGGAACGGTTATAAATACTGGAGTTCTTAAAGGGGTACTGCGTCGTCTTGAACTGAAGATTAGGAGATCGGTGCAATGGGTTGTTTGTCAACTGCATTTCAACAAATTGTCTCTTCACCACTTGTTTGAACTCCTTGATGGTCCTACTTCAGGACCTACTTCCTACACCGGTTGCATTGGAAAATCTTTAAAGGCATGTGAGCTGCTTCAAGTGGTAGCATATGAGCCAGTTAACTGTACCCATCTATCAGTTAATATACCAAATTTGAGTAAGGACTAGAGATATTTAAGGGGTATTGCTCTTGCCATTAGCTCAGGCATATGTCCTCCAGGTCTTGCTAAGCGAGATCCATGCCCCCTAAATATATCATGCTGGTTGACAACAGCCAACAGAATATTAAGATTATATGTTTCCACCGTAGAACCATCAAATAACTTATGTACCATAGTAGAGTTTGTTCTCAGAGTGTATGCATCTTCTTGGTTTCGCATCAAAATCCATCATTCAATTAAGGATGGAGCGCAGCATCTTTACAGCTTAATTCAATCATCCAGATACTTAGATCAAGTTAACCGCAATGCCATTGATCCAGTAATTTCTCGGAATGCTTACTTTGTATCCCAGAAAACATTCTGCTTGTAATGCTAACTGATAAGAAAACACATATCGGAACCCTCGGTGTACGAAGAGTAATAAAAGCACAAGAATCCATTGAGATGGTTGGAAACGTTGGGACAAGAAAATTTTATATTACAAAAATAAACTTTGAAGCGAATGACTGCATCGATCTAATCGACTGGTCGTCCAACAAAGTTACTCCACCACCAGTACTAAATAATGTAACTACAGAAGATATGAAAAAAATGCTAGAAGAACCAATACCAATTGACTGGACTTTTACAAAGATCCCTTGTTACATACAAGCTGTGGAAAGAACCGTAAAATTTGGTTATGGAGGCCTCAAAGAAAGTGTGTGGACATAACAAACGGGAGGGACATAACAAGCGGGAGGGATTTATTTGCTCCACTCTAAAATTGAGAAAGACAATGCCTGAATTTAGGTACAAGAGACAGTACAAAACCTAAAGACCTTACAAAACAACCATTTTCGTACTCTTAATTATATATACTTATTTTTTAGTTTTTATAATAATATGCTATTATATAATTTATATGTAAGTGTATAACAGTTCAAGTTTATGTTTTATAAATCTTAGTTAAATAATGAAAAAACAGCAGATTTGTTGATTTTGGTGTAATTTCAGGCTCTTTGCCAGAACAGAAAAAACATCATGTGGGGCGTCAAATTTAGTACAGTAACTAATGGTACACATGTGCAGCTTTTGCAGATACCGCGAAGTGCTGTGACGCCTAAAAAATACTTCTAAAAATATATTAAATAATGGGTATTTTACTAAACTTTTGAAATTTCAAGTCCCTTGCCAGAAAAGAAGACATTGTACCTAGGTGTTGAAATTTTGAGGTTACTTTGTATAGAGACAAGTTTTCCGCTCTACCCTGAAAGCATCATAAAAAATTTTTGTTTTTCGAGCCCCCTAATATATATATATATATATATATATATATATATATATATATATATATATATATATATATATATATATATATATATATATATATATAACCACATAGTGCTTTCAAAAAAAATAGATGCAGTATATATATATATATATATATATATATATATATATATATATATATATATATATATATATATAACCACATAGTGCTTTCAAAAAAAATAGATGCAGTAAAATTTTGTTTCTTAAAGCATATTCAAACTACCATAAAATAAGAAATAAAAAAGATATTGAACAAATTTTATTTTATTTGCGAGAAAAATCTTTTTTAAACTAATCCTGCGCATTGGATGCCATATTAAAACATAAAATTGTATATAAAAACGTTGTCAAACATAATAATAAAAAATATCAATAAAAAAATGCAATATTTAAAAAATTAAAGCTACAAAAATAGCATCTAAGCTAGTACTTAAAATATCCCCAACGAGCTTTTTTAAAAGCCTCACATCTTTTTTGCAACGATTTTACAAAATTGTTGCAGATTTTGTTTGGAACTCTTCTCCTAATGGTAATAAATTCTTGCTTTATGTTATTAATGAATCATATTTGCACCTTGGCTAGTTCTTTGTCCATCCAAGTCCAAATAGATTCGATTGGATTCAATCGAATTTTATCCCTTAAAATTTATTTGCTTCTACTTCTCCAAAGACCACCCAATTCTCTCCTTACACCATCTAAATCTTGTGAGGCCGTCAACATTGCTTTTTTCACGTTTTTTGTTCAATGCGTCAGTGAGTTCATGATAACTTGACATCGGATTGGCTCATACTTGACGAAATATAAGACTATTTTCGCATTTGATCCTGCATGGCGTTGGATGCCACCTGTTGTCTTTAAAGTATATCTGATGCAATTCTCTGAAATTTTTAATTTTCTTGTTATTTCTCGATTACTGATCATTGAGCCATCCTTCATGCCTATTATTTTCCACTTTGTAGTTTCGCTTACTGCTTCTTGACCCATATATATATATTTACTTTTAGGTCATGTCAAATTATTTTAAAAGGCTTTAAAATGTGACTAACCTGGTCATCATTAGTAATTTTATCCAATATTTAATGGTAAGTTGTCAAACAAACATAAATTGATAAAATAATTATATTGCTGATAATGATAACCATATTGACTTAACACCGATAAACGTTAATGCATTATTATGCTAGAAAAGTCATCAACATTTGTAACTGAAAACAGTCATCTTTTTTAGAAAGAAAAACAAAAAATTTTACTTCGTGTGTAAAAATTTATTTATTAAATTTATAATAATAATATGAATAACAGTTGAACTGAAGTCGATTAAACAAGTTTGTGCGCCTGTTTTTTTTTTTACAATCTTTTCCGGTGTGTTTTTTGAAAAAAAATTAAATTATTAAAAAAAAAATAACTATACATGAACTTGTTATTAGCATGTTAGTTGTAGAGAAATAATTTTTCTGTCGTTCAAAAAAAAAGTTAAGTCGTTAGGAAATATGGATGGGATTTTACGATGTTTTGAAAATATACACAATTTTTTAATGCGTTTATTTTTTTGAAAGCACTGTATATATATACACGCGCATATACATTTATATATTTCGCTGCGTTTATTCTACTGCATTTTTTTAGGGTCATGATCAAAACGCTCGCCCAAAAATTCATCTTTATGATAGGTGCTATGTTGAAGCGTCAGAAAAAGGTTTAACTAAAGATTGTTTAATTGGCGAAATGATGTGTCAATCTGGTTTTGTACGATTTGAACTCGATGAACATGAAACAATTTTTAAAAAAGTATTTTAAATACGTTAGTTTTAAAATACTTTTTATATGTAAGTTTTCAATTTGAAACAGTTTTGGTACCCTGATCTCTGGTCTTTTTTTTTAAGTATTCAAAATATCCCAAACCAAAAATGTAAAGCTGATTTCTATGTTTTTAAGTTTTTGAATGAATAATTGTGCCGCAAATTCCAAAACTTGCAATGTTAGTAGTTTGAAAATTGCAATGTTTGAAAATTGTTGTTTTAAGTTTAAAGTTGCTTAAAGTAGTTGAAAATTGTTGTTTAAATCAAGAATTTTATTAAAGTCTTTTCGTAATCTTCAGGATGCATGGTTATCTCACAATAATCTTGGCTATTAAAGCGTTTACCAAAAAATGACCTTAACTTATACTGAAAATTAAATACATTTAAAACAGAATTTGATTGTGCATCGTCATCGGTCTTAAAATCATAGGTGAAATCATTTTAAAGAAGTCATGGCAATTAAATTTTTAATTCAGGAGTTATTTTAAATTCCCTTTATGTTTCATGTAAATATAAAAAAAATGGAAGATCATCGAGCCGCAAACATCAAAGCATTTTCAAGTCGTCTCAGGAATATACTTGTAACTGACAAGAAAAAAAACAAGTTTCACTGGATAAAAAAAAACAAAATTCACTGAAATGATCTTTATTAAACATTAAAAAATGAATTATTCTAGGGATATGCTGCAAATTTTTAACCATTAGTAACTGCAATTATTCAGCAAAAACTCGTTAATTAAATAGAACCACTTGATTTTAAAAGCATATGTTAGTTTAAGTTTCTTTTCTTGTTTCAAGTCATAACACGACATTTGATAAAAAAGACAACTAAAACAATTATTATAAAATCAAAAAATTGTTTTCTAAATAACTAAAGTTAAAATATTTATTAGCTGTATATCATATCTCCGTTAATTCTTGTAGTACTCCATTTAATATGAATTTTATAAAAAAGCTGTTGTTTGCCGTTTTGTTGCGCCATTTTTAATGTTTTTCTGGCGAACCTTTATTTTTAAATTACTATAAACGTACCTATTTGCGTCAACGTATAAAGATTAGTCGTTTAAGTACAGTCTTGATATCGTTTTCTTATTGTTTATGAAACAAAAGGTTACGAGCATAGTCCCGAAGAATTCCAATGGAGTTGAACTTCCATCTGTTTTATACTTCTGTACTTATACTTATTTATCTGTTTTATGGTTTCATGTACTGATTTATACATACACACGCGCACACTCATGTTTACACTGCAAAAAGATGCGATGAAATTTCTGAAAATACTACCAATTGATATCGTTTTCTTATTGTTTATGAAACAAAAGGTTACGAGCATAGTCCCGAAGAATTCCAATGGAGTTGAACTTCCATCTGTTTTATACTTCTGTACTTATACTTATTTATCTGTTTTATGGTTTCATGTACTGATTTATACATACACACGCGCACACTCATGTTTACACTGCAAAAAGATGCGATGAAATTTCTGAAAATACTACCAATTAGTCATTTTCGTGAACTGACTTTGTTCCAATTAAAAAATGATAAAACGATACACTGCGTAGTTGTCGTTTTCATAATTATTGCCTATGCTATTTCTAATTTTTATGCCATAATTTTGCATTGAATCAATACACTTACTGGTTAATTTTTCTTTCCCTGAAGTTTGAGTTTAAGGACTCTGTCCAATGTGCAAAAGAGTGCACATTGTATTAATGTATGAGTGTCCGACTCACTCAAACATTATTGTTATTACATTTTACAGCTTTTAAAAGTTTTATTGAACGACATAAAGAAGTGTCTTAATCTTCGCAATCGTTTTTATATATGAGGTTATAAGTAGAATGATAATTGCAACTGCACAAACAAGTTTTTTTAATTCATCCGTAGTAATCTTAAGTACCTTTAATTTCGCACATCCTATCCAAGCAATGCTTAGATTTCACTTCAATGTCAATATATTTATCTTCAAAAATTGAAGTTATGCTTTTATTATTATGCATGTCAGCAGAGCAAGTCTACTCCGCACCCCCGATTAGGGGGGCCTAGCGAATTTATAGTAACCGATTTGAAAAGTTATGGAGTTTTCAAATCGGAATTATAAATTTATGATAGTAACTTCACTATCACGGCACTGCGTGATAGTGAAGTTACTATCATGCATGGTAATAACGTTTTACGTTTGATAAACTATGTTTATAACAAGGTTTGAAAATATTTCCATTAAGAATCTTCAAAAAAATTAAATTTTTAAAAAGCGAATACACGAGAAGCTAAAGTTAGGAAAAAAACTCGAAATAATAAAGTTATAAGTTTTTCAAGAAATATTCCACATTGACGGCCCGATCAAACAATATAATACTGGAAGATTTCTTTCGTTAAAAACGGAATCTAAACGAGTAATTTTGGCTTGTTTATTATTATAATTATTGATAATTTTGTGGGATTGTGACATTGAATTGTTTTTCAAAACCAAGCTATGAGACACCATACTTTTGATCAATTGATTCTTTAAAGGTGCGTTATCTGATTTTTAAACATCTTCTTTTGCACTGCGACCGCTTCCAATTTTACTTTTGGTTGTATGGCTTTGCCTTGCTCATAACCGTATGGTTTTGCTTGTTGCTTCCAATATTAATTTTATTCGTTTAGTGATCTTCTTTCTTTTTAGTATATTATACATACTAGTTTTTAATTTTTTCATTGCGAAAATGATTTACATTGAAGCTCTCATCTAAATACAAATTCAAAATGCGTACACTCGTTACACTCTCGTGTGTACACTCGTTTTCTTAGCTAATCTTTGTCGTTATCGTTTGTTTTTTATTTGTTTTTTTAATTAAATAAAAAAAAATTATAAATACAGATAAATAATTAAATTTATAACAAAATAGGAGTGATTTTTAGTTATCACAAAAATTGTCTATAAAAATATAGACAATAGTCTATATTTTTGTCTATATAAATATGGTCTACATTTTTATTTATTTAGATTGATTATATAATATAATAAATTATAACAAAGAGCTTCATACAATAATATTTAAAAAAATAAAAACCTAAGCTTCTCATTTTAAATAATATACAATGTAAACAGAAAGGGACTCAAAGAAGGCATGGATGAAAAGACTATTACCTCAACCTTTTATTGAGTCCCTACGACAACCTTTTTAAAAAAATTAGATTTAATATAACACCTGTTGTTTTTTGATATAACAAGATTTTTAAAAAATATATGTATTTTAAATAACAAAATTTAAAAAAAACATAACTCAGAAATTGAGAAAATGCAATTTTGTTTGCCGTTTAAATGAGGACATGTTATTTAAGTTTTTCTATACTAGTATTTTTCATTTGATTCCATAATAATGGACCTTGAGTCATTTTAGAAAAAATTGACTTTTTAGAATTTTTTGAACCTGAATAATAGTCGGCTAGTATTTGAAGATTATAATTTAAACGAAAAATATCGGAAAAATGTTTGGTAGTAAGTTATTTTTGTAGTTATGCAGTGGCTGATATAGACTTCTTGGGGCCCGGGGCTATTTTTGTTTTTGGAGGCCTCTTTATAGGTAAGAGCCTAAAAATGACTTGATAGAAGTATTCGCGCCGATTGTTTGAAGTTTTGCTTTTTGTGATTTTTGACTAAAGGTTTTTACTCAAAGTTTAAAATGAGAAAAAATATTAAAAGCAGTAAAGAAAGGGTTAGTTGATTAAAGTCAGCTAAAGAAGAATCTTATTTTCAAAAAAGAATTTGAGTTTTTTTTGACTTATTAGTTATTTATGCTTTCATTTTTTTTCAAAACAAGGTTTTTCAATCAGTGTACCTTGAAAATATGTTCAAATTTACACAAAAATGCCATATTAGCATATTTGAATTTAGGGCAATTTCCAAGCAATGGCGCCAATAGGTTTTCATATCAAATCCACTTAATTTGTTCAAATATGTTTTCTCTATGTGTCGCTGTACCAAAAAAAAACAGTGTGCTTATTAATTTGAGAAATATTTTGTGCCTATCTTAGTAATTACGGTAGATAAATTAACACTTTGGCTACTGTAAAGTGATTTTTTGTTGATTTTTAGGCTTTTTTCCAGTCATACAACAAACTTTTGCCATATTTTGTAATTAATTGATGTTTTTTTATCTAAATACTGTTACTGGAGCCTTGGATCTATGAAATATTTTTATACTTATATCAAATTAATGTCTTTGAAACCGCAAATAACATACTCAATGATTTTTGTGACGTTGATACGCAAATCTTTCAAGTTAATAACTTTGATTCGCCTTATTTCAACATTAAAAATTTTAAAACTGAACTCCAAACTTTTAAAAATAACTTTTTGGCAATACACATAAATATAAGAAGTATAAATAAAAATTTTGATAAATTAAAACATTTTTTAACCGATTGCAATTACTCATTCAGTATGATTTGTCTGACAGAAACTTGGTGCTCTGATGAATCAATTCAAAAAAATTCTAACTTTCAAATTCCATATTACAAATTATTATCTTCTGAAAGGAAAGCAGACAAAAGGGGGGGAGGGATTGCAACATATATTCGGAATGACCAAGCAATAAAAGCAAGAAAAGACCTTTCGATTTCTGATTCCAGTTGTGAGGTACTTACAATAGAAATCACTAACTCCAAAACTAAAAATATCTTAGTTTCTACCTGCTATAGACCACCTGAAGGAGATATAAAAAAATTTTCAAGCTACTTGGAAGATATCTTTATTAAAATTAATAGAGAACAAAAAAAACTATTCTGCATAGGTGATTTAAATATAGATTGTTTAAAATACAAAAAGAATTCGACCACCAAACTTTTTTTTGACAACATGTTTCAACATTGTATCTTTCCGATTATCAACAAACCTACGCGAATAACCCCGAATTCAATTTCCGCAATAGATAACATCTTGACAAATGCATTTCAAGATTCCTCTTTAAAAACAGGTATAGTTAAAACCGATATTTCGGATCACTTCCCAATTTACTTTTCTATAAATCAAGATACAAGAATAAACAACAATTCTAAAACCAAAATTTATATAAGAA